GAAAGTGTAAACAGATACAAAAACAAATGTAGTAACAACAAAAATACTTTTATTTGATGGCAAATATATTAATTAAATAATAAAAAACACTTTAAGAAGATATGTACATATAAAACATCAAACATCATAACAAATTATAATCATAACATCGGCATCATAACAAATTTAAAAGAACATATTTACATAGAAAAGAAAAAATATAAACACTATAAACAATGTATATACAAATTATTTTAAGTTAATTATTCACTTCCTTTTGTCTTATTTATTTTGGAAGGCAAAATTGTTTTATGCTACTTAAAATAGCGAGGAACGAGTCCTCTTGTCTGTGAACCCGCCGCCACAAAAATTCGCACAAATATGAATCGAGGTGTTGTCTGGCAGTTCCTCTATGTACTTTATTTCTCCACTTAGCTGAGCCCCACAATCTTTCTATGTGTTGAGTATGAACCCCAGTTGATGGATCAACAAAATTATACCGGTGATTCACTTGGAAATGGTCATAGTTTGCTTCGTTCAGTTGTCGGGTGTTGTATCCTTTCCAACAGTCCTTTAATAAGTGAACGTAATAAGGGAATAACTGAAAACCAAACAATGCAATAACTCAAAAGTTGGCGGGATAAGAAGAGGGAGGTTATGTAACATGATGACATGACGTTAGATAAGATAGATAAGAAGTGAGGTTTCAAAACGGCCCCTTAGACTAAAAGTACCAAAAACTTAAAGTAAAATGAATTAGGTAAGTGAACATTAAAGTAAAATGAAGTAGATAAGTGAACATTAAAGTAAAATGAAGTGGCTAGAATAATGACAGTAACAAGAACTATGAAATAAATAATAATAACTGTTACAAAGTGTGGACTAATGAAGTAAACATAGTCAAAATAAGGTGACATAAGTACTAAAATGGTAATCTTAGAATAAAATGTAAAACAGAGAAAAGGAATATAAAGTTATATAAGGAAATAATAGATATAAATAGAAGATTGAGATATTGTAAAATCTATCAAAATATACTAATTACCATTTTAGTACTTATGTTACCTTATTTTGATTATGTTTAGTTCATAAGTCCACACTTTGTATAATGACAATAACCAGAACTAAGAAATAAATAATAATAATCGTTACAAAGTGTGGACTGATGAAGTAAACATAATCAAAATAAGGTGACATAAGTACTAAAATGGTAATTAGTATATTTTGATAGATTTTACAATATCTCAATCTTCTATTTATATCTATTATTTCCTTATATAACTTTATATTCCTTTTCTCTGTTTTACATTTTATTCTAAGATTACCATTTTTAGTTCTTATGTTCCCTTATTTTGACAATGTATACTTCATTAGTCCACACTTTGTAACGGTTATTATTATTTATTTCTTAGATCTTGTTATTGTTTTTATTCTAGCCACTTCATTTTACTTTAATGTTCACTTATCTACTTCATTTTACTTTAATTTTTTTTATTGTTTTTTTATACCTTTTATGTTTCTCATACCTTGTTATCTGGTTCTTTTCTTAGCCCTGATGAAGGCCTGAATTTCAGGTCGAAATGTTGGCAAATGTTGAAAAAATATTATTATTTATTTTTGCCATTTTATTTCTGACTGATCACCCCAACCATCCTTCTCTTCATTATTCACGACAGTCAAACATCAACCCACAATTAATAAAAAGTAATGTGATTTGTCTCTAATTCCCATTTTTCTATATTATGTCCTGTATCAATTCAAATCATTTAATCTGCAATCATATATTATCAGTCTGAAAACTTTAATCTGTCCATCTTCATCACATCTATCAGTTACCATGATGATAAAATGTTTGAAAGTAATATTTCGTCTTACCGTATTCTGTAAGGAATTATGTAATTATTTGATTTATATTTTTTTATGATGCATGATGTTATCTATGCAATACATTTGTCGAGTTTAAGTGATTTGGTCAAAGCGTTAACATGCTGCTCTAATTAGTAACCATTTCATGGGCAATTAGGTTTTTGATATGGGAAATTGGAATCTTACTGTAAGAGTGTAGAATCTCTTTGACAATAGTTGTCCTCTATGTCTGAGTGTACATTCACCTATTTTACCTCCTTTGATTTTTTCAAAATCTGGAAAGTTGAAGCATATTTAGTCCTATTTTCTCAGTCACTGGGTTATGATTTTTTTAGTAATTAATGAATATAATATGTTTATGTTGTCTATATGTATGACTATATGTGAGTGTTCTTTCAAAAAGGTTTTCTAAAGCTTTTAAGACACCTGGTTTCTCATCTTGGTAGTTAACACACCATTGTGCTACTTTTTATTGGTGTTCTAAAATGTTTCAGTTAGGTAATAGATTTATCAAGAGACCTGTTGTTTTGAGAGGATATTGTTTTGAAAGAGTGTCACCATTTAAGTATCTCGACACTAATATTACACTGGATAGTAATATAAGAGAAGAAATAAAGGCAAGAATAACAGTTGGTAATATGTGCTATTGTTCCCTGACAAAAATCTTTAGGAATCAAGATTTACCCAGAGCTCTCAAAATAAGAGTATAAAAGACGGTCCTGCAACCAGGTGTTATGTATGGAAATGAGTTTTGGACATTCACACTCCATGAAGAAAAGCTATTAAACCTTTAATGATAGTGGACTCATATATGAGTAGTGACGGAATTGGGCCCAGGCGACAGTGAACTTATATTTGAGTTGAAAGCCTATCTTATTGTTTCTCTTTAAATGAAGTTGTAGATGATGAATTCTATTTCCAAAATATCTTGTGGCCTTTCTATCAATTGTATAAAAGTTAAATAAAAGAACTATATTAAAAAGTTTAGAACGCTACGCTAGAGAAATAAGGGAATATTGCAGGCTCCCTAAAGTAGTGATGGAGGGACGGCCAGGTGGTAGAAGAAAAAGAGGCAGGCCATTGGATTGCCTGGAATTAGATGGTGATTTTTCAAAACTCAGACAGTTGAAGCATATTTAGTCAAGTTTCCTCAGTAGTAGGTAGTGAATGTTCATTTTCTCTATAAATATAAATATATGAAATGAAATGGAAAATAATTTTATTCTGGTATTAAAATCCCCTTAGAATAATAACAGAATTCAAAAAATATGTGCATTAGTCGGGTATGTAGATTTAATACAAATATATACAAAAAATACAAAGGAAAATACAAATATATACTGGAAATACTGTGAGAGAAAAAGAAGTGAATAAATAATAATAAAATGGCTGGTGGTCAACGTAATTACATAACCTAAAAATTCTTCCAAGCTTGCAGAACTTTGAATTTGTAGCAGGTGGTGGAACAGAAGGTGTTTGAAAGAATTTATGGACGTGGTTCGGAGTATAGAGATGGGTAAGGAGTTCCAGAAGGGAGTAGTATGAATGATGTAAAATTCGCTGAAAGAAATTTATTTAGAGTTTTATGAGAGGAGATATATAAATATATAGGTTGAGATCTGGTATTGAGAGAGTGGACAGAGGAGCGTAAAGTAATGAGTTCTAAGAGAGGGTTTTTGGTTCTGAGGACTTGGAGAAGAAAAATACCAAGAAGGAATTGCCATTGAGAATTAGGTGTTGCCACTTCAACTCGGTGTATCAGCAAGAAACATGAGAACACCTGGGAATCCCATAAATAAATCTTATGAAGCAATTCATGAGTCTCTTCTGTCTCGCCTCCAGTCTTGTGGACAGTCCTCCATACACCAAGCAAACGTAGTCGAAGGGGAGGAAAACAAGGGATGTTACAAGGTACTGTCTGGTTTCTTCGGAATAGAATCACGGAATCGTAGGAATTGTTTAAGGATAATTATGGATCTACAGGCAATTTGAAAAATATGGTTATTCCAAGACAGACTCTGATCAAAGATCACTCCGAGATTCTTGACTATCAGAAAGAAATGGATGGAGGAGGGGGGTGGAAGTTATTGAAGTGAAGTTGAGGAGAGAAATGAAGAGAATTAATGAGGTACCTGGAGCCGATAAGAATAGCCTTAGTTTTGTCTCTGTTCAGCTTCAGTTCATTTTTTTCTGCCCGTCTGTGGATACAGTCAATATTCTCTTGTAGATCTCAGATTTTCGGAATGATAAGTAAATATGTTATCTTAAAAGTGTTTATAGGAATGTTTTCTAAGCCTTTAAAGATACCTGGTTTCTCAGCTTGGTTATTAAAACACCATAATGCTACTTTTTACTGCTATTCTAAAATTAATTTTGTTTCTATGGTTATTTATTATTTTCTCTTATCTAATCAATTATTTCAAGTAAATTTTTTTTTAATTAGTTTTTATTTTGTTATAACAATAAATAAACGTTTCTAAACATGAAATATATTAATATGCTTCTGTAATTTGACAGTGTGATTTAATAATTTATTTCAATAAATACAAAAAAAAAAAAAATCATTACAAAAGATATACATCCCATATATATTGATGATTTTCTTTAAAACCAGAAAAGGAATTTGATTTTTTTTTTTGAACTATCTACCTAAACTATCTTTATTATTAAATTCCTCACCAATCATTAAAAACAAATTCTTAAAGATCTTTGGCAACTCAGTTTAACAGAGAATCAAACATTCATCAAAATAGATGTGCTAATTAGGTGTTAGTGAGAGGGAAAATAATACATGATTACTGCTTCTAACTTTTTTTTTTTACTTTTAATTAAAGTATGCTATTTTTCCTTTAGTAATGAGTGGATACATTTTCTACTGACTCAGATCATAGAAAAGGTATAAATGATTGACTTGTAGATAAAATAAAATTACAGTTATAAAAATAATAAAATAAGATAAATATTAATCCATATAATATAAAACAAGTAAAAATTGATATTTCATTATTGTATCTATAGCAAATTCTTATATTACTAAAACTGCAAATGGTTCAAGAGGACATAAAAGGGAAAACAATCTTTACAAAGAACTCTCAGCATGATCTTTATTAAATCTTACGATTATCTATACATTTTTTTTAGAAATATTTGGATATTATTCTGTATGCTTTTATTCATGGTGTTAAGGCAGATCATCAGCCATTCAACAGGTCTTATTTTGATGTTGATAAAAGCATCCATTTGTTCATATTTGATGTTCATATAATAGACATTTTTATATTTAAAAGGGAGAAATACTCTTTGGCACTGGTTGTTCGCACACCCTGGCCAAAAATGCTGAAAAATGTTTTAAAATTATTAGTTTTTATACTGATAAATAATGTTATTTTGGAATAAAAAATATATAAAATAAAATAATTTTAATTAATCAAGAATATAGAGCCACAAATGAAAAAGTAGTTAATTTAGATCAACCATTGATGTTGAACTTGATCGAAAACTTGTTTTAAAATAGCCAAGTCAGGAACAAAAAGTTGTTTGAAAATATCAAAATATGAAACTATGAGATTTCTATAATGATCAATATCAATAAAATTTTTAAATTACATTAGAAACTTTAAATAAAAATACTTGGGAGAGCAATTCCAAATAATGAGAAATTTCGGATTTGTAATGACATGATAAGTAATATAAGATTATTGATGACGACATTTATTAAAATTCAGTATTAACTTAGATAAGTATTTTATATATAAGTAAATATAAATAAACCTATGTTATTTGAAAAGATTTTAACATTTAATTTTTCAAATATCTTTTTTGCAATGGTTTTATGCTCTTTTCATAAGACAATGCTTGCTGTTGTAACATGAGTAATATATCAGTGTAGCTAGTCTCACATAATGATCTGTGATCTATTAAAGATAATTGTCATTAATTAATCATTTAAATTGAAAAGAGTTGAGTTGGTGAAGGGGATAAATTTTTGGATAATAATGATTTTAGATATGGCAGATATATGAGCCTTTCAGTTGACAGAATGACTAACTCTAATTTCAACATTTTTTTATTATTAATTTTACTGATATTTCTAGTGGGAAAATGTATACCTTTATTCACAGTTCTATATTTCACCACTGCAATCACCTACTCTTGAATCAACTCACTCATTGTCTGTACATTTATTATAACTTTTCCAGCTAGAAATATCACTAAAATGATTTTACTCAAAAATTTTGAAATTGAAATTAATCATTCTGTCAACTGAAAGCTCATATATAAATTGGAGTTCTACTTTACTGAAAACTCAGAATTTTCAACAATTTATTCCTGATCTGGGCAACATATATGAGCTTGTTGTCAGTAACATAGATTTGAAAGGGCTGGAATGATGTTAGAGTAAGTCAATTTTGCTTTTTGTTCAGAAAGTTAATGTTTTATAAATATATTGTATATGATATAAATATATCATGTAACATTAAAGTGCAAACTATGTTCTGAAATAATATATATATATATATATATATATATATATATATATATATATATATATATATATATATATATATATATATATATATATATATATATACACACACACACACATAATATATTAGTACATAAGTATTTAACAAAACATTTGTTTTCTTAACAAAAAGCAAAACTAATACCTTACTATCATTCTAATCCCCTTATTTGTAAAATAATAAAAAAAAAAAAGATTAAAGGCTTAAGAAATGTGTTAAGACATAAAAAAAAAAGTTAAAATAAACAAATATAGTAATTACAGAGAAAATAAAATTTCAAAATAATATTAAAAGATTAAATACGGATCATTAGAAGATAAATTAAAATTAAATATGCATAAATGTAGGTTTAAAAAATACAGCTTATTGAAACAACAATAATCTGAAAAGAAAATCAATGATCTGAAAATTATTTTTCAGATATTTCGTTATTTTATTAGTCAATCGTTAATTGTTATAAAGGAAAAACAAAAATCAAAATAAAGTAAATGGTGGAGATAGTTCATTTTAAACTGTTTTATGTTCATTATAGGAATAACAGAATTTTTATTAAGAAATCTTTAAAAATTGCTAAGTAATATTAGTTTTATATGGAAATGAGACTTTAGAATTTGTTGTTTTTACAGTTAATTGTTGATTGATTCCTCAAAAAATTTAAAAATGACATTTAATATTTTTTCAATGTTCACATTGTCCACTTTATGAGTTTACAAATTATTTATACTTGAACATTATTTTTTATAATAATAGACCGGTGACTTTATCGGAAGTAAATACTTTTATTTACAAATGAATCAAATAGAATTTGAGTAAACAGAATAAATCAAATGAAAGTGAAGCCCATAATAAGAAATTTCATGTTTATCCTTTTCTATTGTACATCTATTTCCATGAATTATCAAAACAGATTTTCATAATTTTTTCAAATCAATCTAAAATACTTTGTTAAACCTCTTATAATAGTCTTTCTAAAACTGTTTACCTTTGTTGAAAAATAACTTGTCGCAATAAATATTTTCCTGTTTAAAAATGGAATAATTTGAGAATAAAGCAACAAAAAAATCTGTTTTAAACAATAAAACTGTTTTATGAAAAACATTATCTCTAAAAGTATTATTGTTCATCTAATTACATTTAATAGGACTTAAAAAATCACTTAAACACCATTTCTAATAAGTTGTTAGTTTCTTTATTTCTTCTGAAGTAATTATCCTAATATATATATATATAATATATAAGATTTTTTTTTATATATATATATATATATATATATATATATATATATATATATATATATAAAAAAATCTTTCGCGCTGAAGCCCCCAAAATTAAATCCTGGATTCGTTAGTGTAGAGTAGCATAAACTTATAACATTTTTTTGTAGTAGATTTAACAATTTAAAATTAAAAATACATATTTATTATTAATTATGTATAAATGTAGAATAAACAAGAGACCAATAAAAAACTAACTAAACTGGTTAAACTGGAAATGCCTGAATATGCGTCATTTGTATCTGTACAGTTTATTTAAATCTTTGATGACTGTAATTGATCCAGTATTAAGAAATAAGAACAAATCTTTTGTTGTAAAAGCCTTTAAATTTTAAATAATATAAAATTAGTTTTATCAAATGAACAGTAAGTAAATTAAAAAAGCAATGTTTAGAAAAAAAAAAAAAAAGCAAATAGTAATAGCTGTGAAGGTTATCTTGAAGCGATATTTTTATTTTTAATTATGTAACTTACGAAATGTAGTAAAACATATATGCTGTAAATTAATATATTTTGGATTTTCACATTTAATTAATTCACCATTTTTCAACGGTAGTCATCTTCTTGAGGAATGCTGGAATGGAAAAATTAATTAGAGGAAACTATTCTACCTTGCAGGAAGATAACATTCTCTAAAATCAAGGTGGTAAAAAAAAAACATTCATTCATTCTTTACATTCTAATACCTAAATAAACTAAAATGCTTAAAAAATACTGAACTTGTTAAATATATATACATCTTAAGTCATATGTACATGAATGACTTAGGAGATATTTTTATATGTATTGTCATTCCTGGTCAATTTCTTTATATTTCAAATTATATGAGACTTAAATATGTGTATATAACAAGATTATAAATTATCTGTAATCAATTTTAAGTAAAATATAGTAAATTTAAGATAAGAATTAATTTCAATTCAAAATTAAAAATAATTAATCTGAAATGATGGATCATTTAAAAAAAATATTTTCAGTCTCTTTTTTTTGTTTAATGTAAGTATTGTTAAATAGTGTTGGTAAAATTTAAACATTTAAAAAATCTAATAAAACCAAGTTATAAGAAGGTCTATGTTTTGAAAACATTAGAAAATGAATTGAGATCTACAAACTTCTGTTATCAAAATATATTCATTTGGCTGATCCTGAAGAATAAACCTTCTACAGGTATTATTATTATAGAATTGGATGGTGCATGGAAGTAAACTACATAAAAGTAACTAACTAACATGATAGGGAAGGTTGTTAACAATGCTGAGATCATTCCAAACGAAGCAATTTTTTTTTATCATTCATCAAGCAACATAACATAATAATTTTCATTATTAGGGGAAAACTAAACTATTATGCTAAACTTCATTCAAGGAGAAGTTGATCAAGGGTCTAAGAAGTCAAATATGTGATACATGGAACTTATATTTATTGATTGATTACGTTTTGACTGATGTTATAGGTCTTAATTAGGGCTAAAAATAACAAGATACAAAAAAAATAATAAACATTAATGTTGAATTAGTATCTCACTTATTCAACCAACTTCTCCTTAAATTAAATCTATGGTCAACAATAACCATACCAATATACACTTTATTCAGTTCTAACTTGTTCACATCTAGCTGCTGGTTAATTTTAAGATACTTACGAACATAAGGGATCATTCCATCTTCATCTTCAGGGTCCAGGCAGTCCTTGAGGACTTCATTGCATTCAGCATCATTCAGTTTCTCACCTAAAATTATGTATTAAAGTTAATTTTTAATTATCTTAGAAACTGATACATTAGAAGCCAATTATTTTAGCATGGAGATTTTATTTTTCATTAAAAGTAAGATGATTGCATAATAAAAAAATATTCTCAACCCTTTAAAAATCAATTGGCTTGGTTAGCTGAACTATGAAATGCAGAATGAATTCATTAACATTTATTTAAGACATTAACAGTTTTTATTAGTATTTTTCTTGAGATTGTCATTTTATTTCTTGCATTGGACAGTTTCATCCCTTTTAAGTTTTATTTGAAAACTAATCAAACTTGATGTTTCAGCTATTGCTATTTAAATATATGTATACTAATTTTACACACACACATATATATTAATATTTTCTATTTTGGATAATTTTTTTTTAAAACTCGTACCAAGAGAAAGGAGAATGTGGTGAAGCTCAGCACCAACCATCAAACCGTTTTCAGCTTTGTCATAGAGCTTCATACATTCAACAAAGTCTTCATAGACACCAGTGTCCTTGTCCTTCCTGGCCTGGGAGAAGATTGGGAGGAACTCTTCAACTGTCAGGGTTTTTTCTCCTAGAAAATAAATAGAAGGCATTTAGTTATTAAATTACTTTATTATTTTGTGCAAACATAATTATTAAGTTAAATTATAAAATTTCCTTGCATAAGTAGATTTGGAATTGATTTTTCAAAAGCATATTTCTTTAATTCAGTTGATTGCTTCTGTGAATGTTTTTGTTTAATATCTTGCAACTACTAGGTTGCTAGTCTGATTGTCTTATTACATGATGTAGTGGCTCTGTTTGGATCTGTCATATCTACAAAGCTTTTCTCAATTTTTTTTTTTTCTGTGAAGGAACCTAATTTTTGTTTTGGTAGAGTAAAATTTTTAATTTTATAATTACCCCTTAAATTTGTTTAAATCAACTTTATACATAATATTAACTAGGACTAGTAAGCATTTAAGTTGAATATTTATTAAGTAAATTTTTGCCAGAATAATTTGAATTCTTAATAAAATATATCATACACAATTTTTTTCAATAAATAAAACGAATATCTATAAATAATTGGAGAAAGGATTCATGGTATAGGAGTATTATTTTATTTGCAAGTGATATTTATCATAATATTTTATTTATGTTGATAATGTTTCATTTTCATCTGTTGAATATTTTTTATACTGAAATAATTATCCAAGATAAAAGATGAACGATAAATTCAAATAATTCGTTATTTTCAGATAAGGAACAGTGCTATTATCTTGATCCAAAATATGAAATAATGGATCAGATCATTCGAAAGCCTTTGCCAATTATCTAAGATAAATAATGTCCAACTATGGTCTTTAAAAAAGTAAAGTCATATATTTTTAAGTCTACAAAAAACAAAATATGTTTGTATTTTGTTCATTGAGAGATTTCTTTTTTAAGAGGATTACAGTTACAGTTACCACTGGTATATTTCTGATGTTTGCCTATGAGAAAGTTCACTAACTTTGTTAAGTTTTGTTTCGATTGTTGAAAAAAAGGTGTTGGTCTAGTTTCAGAAGGTTAAGCATTCACGTTTTTTAGTCAAAATGCTGTCTTTTTTTACTCAGCTACTAGTCGACAACTATTATAAATTATTTATTTTCCATTATTTGGAATATACAGAGTATCACATATTATTGCCCTAATAATACGTTGATCATTTTATCATTACGTTCCTGGATAAATGTTCAATTGATAAATCACTGATTAACAAAATAATATATATGTTTTATTTGTATTTTAAGTCTAACGATAATTCGTTGAAGTTAGGATTTTTGATAATTATGAAATTTTTTTGAAGATTACAGGATCTTTATTTTTTTTCTTTAATATTGCATGATTACCATCTAGTTCCGATTGAAATCAAATCTAAATAGGTGTTACTCGAACCTCGCAAGGTAACTCGAAACCAAAACAAAAAATCAAGATCTGAAATAGTATTTATTTTTTCTTAACTGGCACATATTCAAAAGGAAGTGTTCCATAGATTATATGCCAAGCAATTAAATAACTGCTATTAGTGATCTAAACGATTTTTCTATTGGGTTAAATTAAACATATTAAATTTCATGTATGCATTAAACTAAAAGATATCTTCTTATTCATTTTGTAACTTCATATTTCAGTAAGATTAAAAAACTTTTTTTCAATCCTTAACCAATACTAGAGAATTAACGACAGTTCCACTGTATTAATTCATTTTATATTTTGACGAATCTCATTTAAAAGATTTAATTTTCATTCCAATATTTGTAAGGTCTTTTTTGGTTTATATTTGCGTAATTTTGATTCCAACATCAACTATTATTGATAAAATTTATGATAAAAAATGATTTCGTTACATAAAAACAATAAAAAAAATAATGAAGAGAAGAATAGTTGGTGTGATCAGTCAAATAAGAAGGCAAAAATAAATATTATCATTTATTTTTGTCTTCTTATTTGACTGATCACCCCAACTATTCTTTTCTTCATTATTCACGACAGTAAACCATTTACCCACAATTATGAAAAAAAAAAAATAGATTTTATTTAGTAGAAATTACAGTTTTTAACCACTACAAAATATAGTACCCGTATTGTTTTTACGAGATTTTAACGTATTGTACGAGTTAAGAAGATCAACCAACCGTGTACATCGTACATAATTTTTGCTGGCGTATGCAAGATATACTTTAATGAATCTAAACTTTAATAAAGTTTAGATTTTTTTTACAATTATTTTTACTGAATTATTATTTATATTAATGTGTAATACTTAACTATTGTTGCTTTTTAAACTAATAAATTGCAATTATATCTGCTTCGATTAGAGTATGATTATTATTTTCTTCATAAAACTGTGATTGTATATACATATTTTAAAAATTTTATTGATAAATAAAAACATAAAAAAATTGGTACCGTAATTTTAAATTTTTTATTTTTATTTTTATAGAGTATAAAATAAAATATAAAGTATGATTATTATTTCCTTCATAAAACTTTGATTATATATATATATTTTAATTTTCCAGATAAAAGAAATTAAAAACAATATTTCACCATTTTTAGAAAAAATGACTTTAATGTTTATTAATTTCATTACTATTTCACCTAGTTTCGTTGAAGTCAAAATAATGCGTTTTACCTTTATTTTGAATAATGATAGGAATATTGAATCCTTTAAAAATTTTATTTTGCTATTTCAATTTTTATAAAACGTTTTCCAATAGTTTCTAAAAATATATGTATGTTTATTAAACTTATTTCGTACCCCAAATTAAACCCATTTTACTTCTTAACCCATTAACTTAAAAAATAATGTAAAAAGGTTTTAAAATTTACTAATTGAACAAATAAACAAAGCCTTTACCTAATTTTGCAGAAAAAAAAACAATATCATTGAACCTACAATAACACGAATTTTTACAAGTGTACGAGGATGTGTGAGGTTTGAGATACGAGGATATGTCACAAAGCGCGTGGTAACACTGCAAACGACTTGAAGCTATAAGTGTAAATAGTCATAGTTCTTCATACATAAAATATAATTTTTTTTCTCAACAAATGTTGGGTAGCTTACCCTTCTTCTTGGTGCCGCCCAATTTCTCAACGAGAGCAAGGGTGGGGTTGAGGCCAAGAGCCCTGAGGCAGTGACCCAGGTAGAAGGCGTCGACGCTGCCAGCACCATCGAAGTCGTAGATGTTGAAGGCGAAGTTTGCCCCTGTCAAAACATTTATGCATTAATTATATGTTATCATGTTAATAACACTAGAATTTGGCAAAACACACTTTATATCTAGGGTTAATCCTTAAACATTACGAGGACTCTGTGTTCAATAGCAGCATAGGAAGCAAAGCCAATTTTTTGTGCTATGAAATAGAAACCCTACCACAGAATAACAGTTTTTGGTTTATGAGAAGCAAATACCATTATTAATCCTTTAACTATTATTAACTATAAAATGCATCAAACTGCTTTTATAAACATTACAGTTAAAAATGTGTATTTTTCACAAATAATGAATGATTCATGGTTACATATGGTATTAAATACTTTTGTTACCTGAACTTACTGAAAATATTTTTTGGTATTTTAGTGAATTATTTACTTTTATGACTTGATATGCTATTTTAGAAGCATATTTATTGACTTTTTTTTCAGTTTAACTAAACGGTAATTTTCTCTTGGTGTAAACATTAAATGTACTATGCTTGTCGAGAGCTTGCTCCGACGATTTGTCAACGATGTTCTGTTTTATTGACAACGCATCTTATTTGAAAGGAATACCTCATTATATTTTTAAACTAAGAGTAATAATGAATTAAAAATGATTCTAAAAAGCACTTAGTCGATTAAAATTAAATATAAAAAAATAAACTCCATTTTAAAATTGTCTTCTATATTTAGTGGACTCGGGAATTAGTGTTGCCCAAATGCGAGACCGAGACGAGTCATGGTCTTGCAAACTCAGTCTTGGTCTTGAGCAAGAGTCTCGCAGTTACTTATTAGCTTATTACTATAGAGATATTACTGTAATTTTTTATATAGGAGAATCCTAACTAAGTCCGAATGAAAAGTTAGAGGATTAAAATACAAAGGTATATTGGTTATACCAATTATTAACATATAGTAACTAAGATTGTCAAGTATTAGTAACTATTTTGTCCTAATTTTTATTTAAAAAATCGGTTTTTTTTTTACCAGTCCTGGTCTTGGTCTTGCAACAATTAGGCGGCCTTGGTCTTGGTCTTGCAAAATGCAAGTCCAAGACCGATTTTGGACAACACTATCTAAGATGTTTCTACGTTTATTTATATTTCGAGCAGTGATTTGAAATCATATTAATTTAAAATTAGAATTTATGCGGAAGGAATTATATTTGTCTAACTTGTCTTTTTTATAAAAATAGAATCGGTTCTGGGGAAATAGGTCATTTATAGTTTTAGTTTCTTGTTAATACTATCAACTTCTTTATTTATTCAATGTAAATTTTTGACAAAAAAACAAAACATTTTATTACTTAACTCCTCAATTTATTAACATTATTATTATGATGAAGTATATTGATTACATCATGTTTTGTACTTTTTTTTTTTTGCTTTTTAGATGATTGATTTCTTATCTCGGAAAGATGTTTTTAATTTTTTGATTTATTTTGTTTTTGTTTAATTGATTTATTTGTTTATTTGTTTATGCTTCCAGTTCGATTTAATTTGTTCTTTTTTATTTTATTTTGTTAATTTTTGTTAGTTTTTTTTTATTTAATCATATTATTTTATAATAAGTTTTTTTAAAATACAACCACATGAACTTCAATTATATATTATGATTCATCAAATAGTGACGATATTCATGGCTAATGGAAATATTGATGTGTTATTTGCACATATGTTTAAATTACTTAATTATTGGAATAATTTTATTCCATTATTGCTTACATAATATTTTTTTTCATTAATGATACTTTTGTGATGGACTTAAATAATTCTGGATAATAACAATTGTATCATCGTTACATCCCCCTCTTTTTTTTTTAATATAATTTTCTTTTAACAACAGATTATGTTTGAAAAATAGAGCCAAGGTATTTCCCCTACCCTGCCTGTTCTTTTTGAAAATCCTGAAGATGTTCCAATGTCTTAGAAGGACTGCAAATAAAAGCCTCTATTGGAAATTTGCCAAGGTTTGTTATTCGAATCCATTCTATATTTAGGAGGCAGCAACGGTAAGGCCCATATTGGTTAGGTTCGGCCCATGTATTCTTAGATTGTATCGAATAATAATAACATGGAAAAATAAATTATTTAATAATTGATTTAATAATTTCAAGCTTACTTTCGATGTCCTTTTCACTGACGTCAGCCTGAAAAATAAAATAAATACAATTGTAATAATGAATATCAAGTATTAAATAAATAACTAGTATATTCTATAGAGCTATGTTTATTTAGTTTCATTCTTCTTTTTTTTTATTACTATTTTATTAATTCGAATAATACATTGATAATCAATCAATTCATTTATTCTCAAAATTAATAATCATGATCGCTAACAAAGTGAATCTAAAAGATTCTTAACCATTATTCATTTAAATAATAATCTATTTATTAATGATTGTTAAAATACAGATACCGATGATTAATAAAGAAGTTGTTAATTTAAGAATAGATAAATTATAAGTAAAAAAATTGAACCAATTTGAGGCGGTGTGGCTAAAACTGAGAACTGATTTGGCAAACCTTGAATTATTTAGAATTATGAATATATTTCACTCAGTAAAACTTATAAGATAATTTTTAGAAATCTTTCTAAATTGATTAAATACCTAATATATCAAGGTGTCTATTCAAATTAAATCGTTTTCCTATCAAAGATTTTACGACCTTAAATTGAACGACTTGTAATAAAAATTGATTAGTATACTCTATTGCTTAAAAATTTGAATACATGCTTCTAGAATACACATTTATACACGGAGCTTAAAGAAAAATATTTTAACTTATCTTTATGGAACAATAAAAAGATTTTTATATAATTCATTGGCATTCGAACACGGAATACTGGATAATTTCCGGAGAGGTTAATGATGACTTCTTAGTAGATAGTAGTGGAAGTTTCAATAGAAAGAGTAGGAGTTTCAATCTTACGCGCTCAGGACAGAAGACAATTTGCTAATTAAGATTATTTAATTTTTTTTTATGTAATGTCTCAAATCAGAATGGTGGCTAAGTACCTCCAGTCAACGTAAGCTTTTATCAAGGTTCAATAACATTTTGAAAATTCCTTTTTTAATAACTTTTTTCAAATTATTTTCACTTTACTAGGTTATTGAATGTTTACAACTTACCATTGCTCTTATAGATGCCTGTGGTGCCTATACGCCGGTCGCTACCCAAGTGAGGAATCCTGTCTATATTTTTATCTTTGAAGACTCACTCTCAGGTGGGGGGCACTTCCCCTCCGGACCCCCACCACAAGTTGGCACCCTCGGGAAACCCTTTGGTTGTCCTAATTTCCTCACATACGTCTGCCTGTATGCCCTTGCAATTCTGGCAATGTTCCCGGGTCTTCTTCACCTTATCGACATTTTTCTGACCATCGGGGGATGATGCCCTTATTGTGAACGTGACCCAATAACCATCCCCACCGCTTGGCTGGGAGTAAGCTGATCATATTTGAACTATTGTAATAGACACAGGCCTATTTCTGGTCTCAGACGTGTCCATTTGGCAAGATGTGACCGGATTCCTTCTAAATGAACTATTAAAAAGTTCCGTATATCCAATAGAGCGAATATATATTCTTAAACTTAGTTATATAATTGACAAAAAAAAAAAAAAAATGTTTTATAGTAACCTAATATCACATCTTGAGTTACATTACCAAAGAAGAATACACAAAGATTATATAACTTTGTGACAATGATACCGTTGGTAGACTTCTTCCACTCCCCATATATTTAATATCTTAAGGTGCGTTTAGACATTTCACTAACTATGTGAAACACAATTATTAATTACTAACAGCGATATTTATTTCTAAACCAAACTATTTATTTTATTTCTATTGATAACGACAGCAGATGGAAAATATCAAAAATTAGAAAAAAAAAATACTAGCATATACGAGCATAAGTAATTCATATCTATAAAAAGAAGTATCGGGTTTACCTATTTCAATCAAGTGTTAGAATCCGAACAATATGGCGGAGGATCGATTTCATTTTAAGATTGATGATGAATAAAATTTAAGATTACTAAGTACTAAACAAGTAAACAAAATTGTGTTTCGGTGTCTAATGAGCTTGAATGTAACAAAAATCATTTAAAATCCACATTCATCAGAGATATTATTTTGAATTCTTCGATTATTACAAACAAGGAAATTAGTAGCATCGATATATTTTGGATCACCTTCAAATAGTGTTTCTAGAAATGAAATTTATTTATAAATACTGAATAGTTAGAAAATTAATAATATTACGGAATCTAGCTTTAAACAATAGCTATTAATACGTTTGCATAAAATTCCCAAATGGCTTTTAGAGTGAGCAAATAATAATGGTTATTCGATTTGGCCACAGCTCAAAATTGTTAGACTAATATTTTATGTCGGTTAACTAAAATAACTTACACTTTTCAATGTTAATTGCTTAACTACAATTTTACAATTATTTCAAAACTTATATTAGACATTGGTCAACCCATTCGTGGGATCTTATAATATAAGTTATGGTTTCTATCATGATTTAACAATTTTCAAGTATATGTTTATAATTATTGACTTATGCATTTACCTAAACTTTGAATCAACATGTTCGCGGTAGTTTATTTTAGAGTTTCATGTTCCCTCTTAGGTCTCTAATTAATATTTATTAAATATTGTACATGAAAATGCTATACCTCATGAATATATAGCTTTCTATAGGTTTCCTTAAAAATTGATTTTTGAATCCCTACTACTAAATTTCTATTGGGTACTCTCCTTCATTGTTTCCATGATTAAATTTCTTTAGGGTTTTATGCAGTTCTTGTCTTGTATAAAATTTGAGAACTGTTTTTTAAAAAAGTCTATCGTTGTCACACAGTTTTTAAAACCATTCTTCAAAAACTTTAACTTCTCCTTCATAACTTCGGCCACAGGCACTAGCGGATCCAGGATTTAATTTTGGGAGGGCTTCAGTCCGAAAGCTTTTTTTTTTCATAAAAATGACGATAAATACTTTGGAAAACAAGAAAGAAACTAACTCTATATATATATATATATATATATATATATATATATATATATATATATATATATATATATATATATATATATATATATATATATATATATAATGGTGTTTAAGTGATTCCTTAAGTCCTTTTAAATATAATTACACGAACAATAATACTTTAAGAAATAATTTTTTTCCATAAAACATGGTTATATTTTACCATTTTGGGGGAGGGGGGCTTCAGCCCGAAAGCCTCCCCCGTAGATCCGCCCGTGATAAACAGTATACCATAAAGATAAACAGTAGCATAAAAAGTAATTTTTATCTTAAAAGGGTGTGATATTGAAAATTAAAGTAACAGTAGTTAATTTTGCCCAGAAGGTAACTAAATTCTGAACAAAAAAGAGCATAAATGAATTCAATCATTTAATTTAAACCCGTGTTGCTGTTATTATTTCATAAACGTATAAATTGAGTCCTATTTATGTAATTATACCTACAACATTTTTCCGTTAAATTGGCTTCAATAGAATGCTATAGTTTTTACAAACGCTTCTGGTATGTGTTATACACATTTATATGATATTTAATCTAAGATTTAAAATTAATTAAGATCAAACTATAATAGTTTTTAATATGTAAATACCAAATGTTTTTCTAAACATGAATACATTTCCTGTTTTTTACAACTTGTTTCCTTCATTTCCTCTTTGAGATTAAATTAAAACATGGTTTAATAAGATATGGTTATTTATAACGGAGACAAAAATAAAATTTTATCTTGAGTATAGGTGAAAAATAAACAAACATATTATGAAGCCGTTTCGTCTTTCTTGAGTTAGATAAATACAATGTTTTCCGGAAGAATATGAAAGTATTGTTCCTTTCCTTCTTCATCTTCCTCCTTCGTGCCTTTCATAGTGAAGGTAAACCTTTCCTTTGTGTTAGATATTGTTTAATTTGCTATAGAAAACGTGCTATTTGAGATAAGAGTCGTTTAAATAAACAGAAATTTCTGTTTATCGTGGCTATTTATTCTCCCATAAGTTATTTAGATTGATAAACCTTATCGTGCTTTCACTTTGGACTAGAGGGCGCTAGGGTAAGCTGATATAACCTGCCCTCAGGATTGTTCTTGACTGTTAGTGCTGTTTGAAGGTTGGAGGATTTTAATTTCTAATTTTGCTGAATTAGTTTGATTGGTATGCTTTATATTATATCATTTTATAAATTCCTATGTTTACATAAAAATTCACAAAAATAATATTATACTATGCAATCATTTTTCATTTCAAAAATAAAAAAATAATTGGCTTATTGGACATTCTATTTTGCTTATGATATTTATTAAAGTAACTTTTTTCATGACACTCAATTGTCCTAAGTTAAATTTTTTAATTTTCGATTAGACTTTTGATAATATTTACTTTTTAATGGCAGTATTAGTAATTAGGATAACCAATAAACTTGTCTTGTTTATATTCCTATTAAGTTTTGAATGATTGCTTTTATATTACTTAGTTTCTCGATAAGCTTTTTCTCTAAATAGAATAATATTTACAAACAAGTTTGTCTAACAAATTTTAATATATTAAAAAAAAATCAGATTACCCGCAACATGAATAAATAAAGTAGGTCGTGCGTGTATGTACACATTTCCATAATAAACTTTCAGTTGTCTTGGATCCAATATCAATGTAGTTTGCCTTGATGGCCTAACCCTAATTTACCTTCTAGGACCTTATTTATAATTTTTAAATTTCTTTTCGTCAGTTTAAATTTCTTTGTCCATTTTACATATTCTATAAATATTTATCATTAGCATTACTCTTTTTATCCATTGTTCTTTTGACATCATATTAATATTACTCTCGGTGATGTGAATGTAAGGTTTATATTTTTAAAATATCTAATTGATTTCTTAATTGTTTACTCTGATATTAGGATATTAAATTTTCTTATGAATAATGTATTAATTAGTTAGGCTCTTTCATACATAATTTTTTTTAATTAGAACTGAAATGATCAAGGATATTTTGTGATCATTTAGAATAATTGTTTAATTAATATTTAACTGGTTGTTTTTACTTTTAGTTAATATGTTGCTTCAATTAACAACTTATCTAGATAAACAATAAACAAAATTGCAATTTAAGTTTGATAACACCAACTGTTTAGATTTTTTTCAAAATATTTATTATTTATCGTTGATACATATGTTTATTTAAACTGTTCAGATTATTTTTTATAACAGCTAATACTAGATAAAAAAAAGTGATTATTTTCTAAATATATTTTCATTAATATATATATATATATATATATATATATATATATATATATATATATATATATATATATATATATATATATTTTACTATATATATTTACTATATATTTACTATATATATTTTACAATCCAGTTTTTTGTTATAATATAGATTCAGTTAACATATGGTCCTCATCTTAATTGTTATTAAATAACATAATACATTCTTCCATTTTAGTTTTCATTTTTTTTAAAATTTACATGTATATTTTTTTAATGTTTAAAAATTATTAATGTTATTTAATATGTGTATATTTCTTACAACATTTTAAAATTATTTAAATTCCAATTTAATATTACAATTGTTTACTTAAATATTCTAATATTTTTATTAATCCTCATTTTTTTCTTCTGTTTTCATATCATTTCAATATTGCAATGCATTAATGTTTACTGATTTGCAAATGAACTCTATATATAGAAACCTTTGGAAGGTTGTTTCACTATCTTTAAAATTGCAGGATAAACAGTCTCAGTGATAGAATACTAGTCATTTTGTGTCCGGTTTACGAAATGTCTATGACCCTGATATTATTTTCTTTTCAATGTCCAATTTATTTTTTTCTGTTGTTCTTGTTTTATGTGTTTGTATGGCTTGTACCTATTATAGTGGTCACTGAACTTTTTAGATAGCAATGATTGCTGACGATAGTCGTCTAAATCTAGCTCATCAGAATTTGAGGAGTGTTCCAAAAACATTGGTTAACAGTTTTCAAGATGTTGTGAAGATAATAGATGTTAGTAACAATAGCATAAGGTAGGTAATACTATAACTTATTTATTTGTATATTTTATTTCAAAGCCTGTCAACTTATTAAAAATCATGAATGGATTATTTTTTAGCCTTAAATCTTAAATAGTCTTACAGAACGAATTTTTTTTAGAATCATTAGGATAGTAATTAAAATTATCATGTTTTTAGAAAAATTCTGTAAGATGAGGTTATTTTTGTCTATTTTTATAAAATTATTATTTAGTTTTATTATTATTATTATCTACTATTAAAATAAAATAGTCAGTAAATGTTCATTAAAAAAAAATACTGTTTTAATCAATTGAAATAATTTTGACCTAGTTGTTTTGATTCGTTAAATCTAATCTAGATTTTCATGTAATTGTTATGGGATTTTTGCAGCTTTTTGCTATAGTTAAACTTGTTTTTAATATAGTATAAATTGTTATTGATCTAATTATTAATAACTTATGTAATGGTGATTTTTGATTTCGAACGATTACATTAATCATTTTATGATAGATCAATCACTATTAACAAAATATCTGCTTTTATTGTTTATACTACGACCTTGAGAGTTTTCAAAACAAAAGCTGAAGGTTTTTGTGCCCAACATATTTACCAGATCTTGTACTGTTATTATTACTGATTATCATTTTTTTTTAAACTCATCAACTACTTTCTAAAACTGATTTATTGAAATTTAGCATTGCTTGCTCTTTTTATAAATATTTTTAAACTTTTATTGTAGTTAAGAACTATAAGCTTATGTCCTCACCATGTATTAATATTTTTTAAATTATTTCAGTGATGTATCCTTTTTGAGATCCTTCAAGAACTTGACCTCTATAATACTTGATCATAACAACATCATGAGTGATGCAGTTTTTCCATATCTTCCAAGTGTTAGGATTTTATGGTTGAACTATAATCAAATCACAACATATTCTGATTTTATTAAACATCTCCGTTCAAAATTTCCTCACTTAAAGCAACTAAGCCTCATGGGTAACCCAGGAATCCCTCAGTGTCTAGAGGAAACATATTATGATTATCTCCGCTATAGATTGTATGTTATCTCTTGCTTTGAAGACTTGGAATATCTTGACGACAGAACTGTTAGTGAGCATGAGAAAGAAGAGGCTCAAAGGCTCTTTGGAACACCAGTGTTTGAAAAATATGTTTCAAAATCTATTCCAAAAGTTTTTCGTGTTGCCGTAAATAGAGTTCAACAGTTTATCACACCATCTTCAGATGAACGGCCATACTTGATATAAAGATTAAATCTTATTAAATTTTCTATATTTATTTCATCCTATAATATCAGGTATTACTATATTTTAAAACGCCATATTTTCAGATATTCCAGAACTTTATTTGGAATTTAAGTATAATCTTAAAGATTGTGGTAAAAAATATGTCACCTTTGTACTTAATGAAATATTGACTTTTCTTTATTGATATGATTACCATTGATTAATTAATTAATTAATTAAAATGTATGTTCTATTGCTAATTTTATTTAACAGTAGGAACATATTCCTATTTTAATATTAATTTTTCTTATCCTGCTTTTATATGCATATATATTGAGGTTATAAATGTTGTTTATATATTTTGAATTTTAAAAACGATTGAGGGAAAATTGAGTATGTATGTGAAATATAAATATATATATTATTTGCTTCAAGCATACTTGCTTGTTTTTACTTATATATTATACTTGTTTTGCACTTATTTAGTTTTTATTTACTGTTAAATGATTATATGTACCATGTTTATGATCTTGTTTTGATATATCCATAGATTTAAGAAATTCATTAAGGTTTGTACCTGAAGGTTAAAGTTGGACTGATTTTGTAGCTTATAGTACGTTGTAAATATGTATATTACCAACGGTGTTATTCTGTTTCATATCTTATTCTGTGATTTATGTGCCTTTTTATAAACTGGCTAACATCACTGACTTGACCATTTTGGTGTGTTATTATTTTTTTAAATTTACAAAGTAAATTTTTAAATGTAAAAAAAAAATATTATAAAAATACATTATTATTTCTCTGTTGAAATTTTTATAGTTTTAATCACAGTTCAGGTGAATCAATCGGTAGTGTTATTAATTACATGCATGTAATTACTTTGAAGTAGTTCCTAAAAATGTTCTCAAATTTTGTTATATTGTATGTTACAAGAATGTATCACCAGTTATTTTTTCATACATAAAATATTAATTTTGTTTTATAGCCTCAAGGAAGAAAATATAATTATTCTATTTTTGTGTAGTCGATTGACTTGAAAGTTTTAATATCCTTTCTCCTTTCCTTTCGTATACCAATATAGTTTTTATTAACTGAAGTTTGAAATTTAAAATTTCAAAAAAAAATTTCTAAATTCTAAGAACCTTGGAAAATTAATATTTACTTATTTAAATTTATTATTTTCATTAATTTTAATTCTAATCCAATTCACCATAGCAACATTATCCTTATTTAAGTAGTCAAAGAGAAACATTTGTTTTCCTTTAATATGAATAAAATCCAGTCAATGTGAATTTGCTGATATACAGTTCAACATCATTTCTGAACTATTGGGAAATTTTTGATGTGATTTGATGAATATAGTTAAAAGCCTGAGTATGTATGTATAATATCAATAGTTCTCAAATATATCAAAATACTAAGGCAATATATATATATATATATATATAAAAAAAAAGATATTTCTATAAATCAGGCCACAATGTTTTTAATGTTTGAAAATAATAGGATGTAAATATTGAACAAAATATATTTTGGTACTCTATTTTTTATTCTCTGAGAGAAGAGAAAGATAGTCAATGTTAAATTGGACTGATATATTTGTAACAGCTTAGAAAGAAACAATTAAATATATGTAGGTATATGGCTTATCACTAAGGTGGCCCAGATTTATATCAAACAAAAAATATTGTTTTGGATATAGGGGCAAAAAACTGCTGACGGTTATCATTGCCCTCAAATTGTGCTGATTGATTTATTTTTCAATCTTAAAACTACTATTATAAAAGTAAATATGTTTTAAAAAGGAATAATAAAAACATTTATATAAAATACTATTGAGAAGAAAAAGAAAAGAGACAAAAAAAATTATATAAATTAATTCAATATATCGCTGATTTGTGAAAAAAAAATTATAGAAATTAAGTCAATATATCGCTAATTTGTGAGAAAACAATGATTTAGTTCAGATTAGTTGAATTAACCCTATTTTGTTAATGAATTCAATGGTACTATCGGTACATTGTTCGTTATCTGTTATTGCCTCACAGAGCTGATGAAGTACACCATGTCTTTTCATCTCTCTCCTGTAGCGAGGACTCTTCTCAAAAATATAGCTCACTTTGAGAGTCAATTTATAGAGTTTACACTGAGGTGGATCTCCCCTTGCCACAGGTAGCTATGGGTCAACTGGCAATGTCCAATTCTGAGGTGTGTGATGACTACTTCCTGGAGGACGAGGCCCAGCAACTGACGGTTGGTTTGATTATCCTCAGTTTATTATTCTCCAACCTGGTCTAGGTCTATTGCCATTTGTTTAGAATCTTTATGTTTATTGGTTTCAATAAATCTTGTGGTGAGATATAAGAGGGCCTTATTACTACCACTGAATGGGCTTCTGTTGCTGCTCTGTCCACTTCCTCATTTCCAGAGATATCAGAATGAGAGGGAACCAAAAGGAAAGATATTTTTTCAAAGAATCTTCTATTAAAAAATATTGTAATATGTCTTAAAAAATGTGATAATATGCAGTGTAATATAAAAATTATAAAAGTATGATAATGTGCTAACAAATAATTAAAGAAGATAATAAAGATAAAATATTGAGCCATAATTGGGTACAAAAAAAAATCAATTAATTTCACTATTAACGTTTGTCATATTTACCATTATTATGTTATTTTAACTGCTAATGGCGACAAGAATAAATAAATAAACAACGTATTTATGTAGTAGAATAGAATAGAGAATAATTTTATTCTGGGGCAAGTCCCTTTAGAATAACAAATAAATACAAAATTATATCTGGTCTGTATAAAAACAAACACAAAAAGTAAAAAGAAAGAGAAATAAGTAAAGAAAACACTAGTTAAACATACTATATATAAAATAAAAAAAAAATCTAATATACAAAACACTTGAAACTATGCCAAATCACGTAAAAATATGTGCAGTGGTAAAATATAAATATACAATCTTAGAAAAAATAAAAAATACATTACATTCTTCTTAGAAATAAACTCTGTCTCTGTAGACAAAAAGTTTATTTGTTTATTTAGACATACAATATTCTGTCACTGGGACAATAATTATATTGATAAATGAGCACATTCACACCGTATTTACAAAAAAAAAAAAAAAATAAATAAATAAAATTAACAAAGTAAAACAATAATTAGATAATAATAAATAAAAACTATATACAATAAAAAAACCTAAATATGAGTAAATTAAAAACATAAAAGTTCAATCATACCTATATACAATATATACAATCAGGCGGGGAACCCAAATCCCTGCGCTAGTCTCTCAGCCTCCTCACCGGTGCTAAAGCCGGTGGAGTTTGAGCGAGAGCGGTTTAGCCACATACACTCATGTCTTGAGTGGAGAATCTGGCCATTGCCAGAACTCCAAAATAAATACTATAAAAGATCTCTGGGCCACTGCCGCTTCAACCTTCGAGGAGGGTTGTAGGGATGAGTGGAACTAGATAGGGATTGGGCTAGGGGATTTGGATGATTGATAAGGTTCTGATGGAATTTTGAAACTTTTTCAGGGATAAGGTCAAGGACAAATGGGATATTAAGGTCATGATATAGGGTTTTGTTGGTTACATAGAACGGAGCATCCACTATTGTTCGGAGGACTTTGGATTGAAAGGATTGGATGCGTTTGATGTTAGAGAACTTTGCTGTCCCCCAAAGTTCAAGTCCGTAGGTCCAAATGGGTTTCAGGATTGTCTTGTAGATCAGTAATTTGTTGTCAATTGAAAGTTGAGATTTTCTGGTCAGTAGTCTGTATAATTGGCCATATCGTCGGTTAAGTTCTTGTCTTTTAAGTCTAGTATGTGGGTTCCACGTTAGTCTTCGGTCTAAGATAAAGCCAAGATACCAGACTGTGTCTGAAAAAGGAAGCTGGATGGAATTAAAGTGGACTGATGGACAGGATCTGCGGCGGAGTGTGAAGGTAATGTGTTTGCATTTGGATTCGTTTACTTTGATGCGCCATTTATTACACCAGTGCTCAATCATGGAGAGGTGCCTTTGAAGATTTAAAGATGCTATTTCTGGATCTGAGTTGGATGATAGGATGGCAGTGTCATCAGCAAATGTTGCCAGGAAGGTATTGGGATGGACAGGGATATCGGCGGTAAAAAGGATATAAAGGACGGGGCCCAAGACGCTACCTTGAGGAACACCGGCTTCAACTGGGTAGGAGTCGGAAAATTCTGAACCACAGCGAACCCGAAAGGTGCGATCAGAGAGGTAGGAGCGGAGGATTAGGTACAAGGACTGAGGTAGATAGGTTTTCAGCTTGGAAAGAAGCCCGGCGTGCCATACCCGGTCAAAAGCTTCAGCTATGTCCAGAAAAGCACCCGAGCAATATTTTGTAGACAAAAAGAAAAAAAAAAGAAAGCTGAATCTGATAGTAAAAATTTTCAGAGTATATAAGTGACGAATTATCTGTAGATACATCATTATGCAAATCATTATGAATAGTAAGTAATTTTACATGAAAGGTTAGCGGGTATCTGACTGTTAATAATCTATGGTCAACAACATTAAGCATTTAAAAATGGCTAACTACGAAACTGAATTGTTAATCAGTTAATGAGTAGTGTTGTATGAATATGATATATGTATAAAACAAGTTATTGTTTTCAATGTATAGAATCGATCCTTTTAAATTTTTACAAAATGAATTTATTATTAATTTTATCTATAATTATTGGTCTCACCATTTAATAGGGGGTATTAAATACTACCAACACAAACTAACATTGTTTGAACAATAACAGGAAATTTATTTGTTTTTAGTAGGAAATTTACCTGCTTTGACACACTCAACACAAAAAAAGTTTCCTCCCTGTTGTAAAAATAATGTAATTACTTATGTTAAGATACAGCACCCAAGGGGGCAGTTGATTTCAGGCCCAATTGCTAAGGGAACTTTGCTTTTTTTTATGAATGAATAAAAATGTGTTTATTTTACTTTAAAAAAAATACAATATATATATATATATATATATATATATATATATATATATATATATATATATATATATATACAAGCAACAACACATAGTCAATGGAAAATTCCGTCTGTCGAGGTCTGTGTGTAATTAATAATAAATATTCATTACATTTATAACTAAAATAAATGAGTAATAATATATCTACAGTAGTATTATATATTTATACATCCATTCAAGCAATTTCTTCCTTCACTTTCATTTTTTTAAATAGCGTTTTAAAAAAACAAACATTAAAGCCTTATAAATCCAATAACTAAGAAATTTAATTTTAACAATAATAATAATAGCAATCAAATACAATACAGTTTACTTACTGACCAATCGAGATCTTTGCAATGTTGCCATCTGTACATAATTGCTTAAGGATTTCCAGTTAGAGCCCTATAATTAGGCAAATAATTCTTCCAGAGAACAGGTCTGCCACCCTAAACATTTCTCTCTTATCTCACTGTACATGTGACAAGTCCCCCAAAAATGAATGATATCCTCTTTTTCTTGAGAGTTACATACTGGACAGTTGTCGTTGTTTTCAACCATCCATGGTTTTATGCTTAAATTGAGCAATTCAGTCCTACATCGAAAAATTGACCCTATAGTCACAATGTCAAAACTATCATTAAGATAGGATGTAACAGTGTCCACTGAACATAGTCCTGTGTTAATAGAATGGGGTTCTATCTGTGGGATATCTAGACCATTTGGAGCCCAGGAATGATTAATCTTAGAGGCTTCCTAAAATAAAAATAAAATAAAATTTAACTTCATTTTAAACTTTCTTTTGTTTTTCTTTTAGGAAGCCTCTAAGATTAATCAGTCCTGGGCTCCAAATGGTCTAGATATCCCACAGATAGAGCCCCATCATTTAGTTTTTAAGAAAAGCAATACTTAATTTGGTATAATTCTAATTGTATTTTTAGATGACTCAAACTATTAAAAATATTTTTATCTATATTCCCCATCCATGAATTTTTTTTCTGAGAATTTATAGTTTATACGAGAACCCTGATGTTACAACGTATATACGTGGAGGATGGCTATGATGGGCAGACCATGTATCAAGGTATATCAAGGGCAGACCATGTATAACATGTATCAAGAATGTCTGACCTAGTGAACCATTTGTGGTATTGGAATTGGACTTTTGGGTTGATTAAACATTTAATTTATTTGAGAAGGAGTTAGTCGAGGGTGCAGTCTAATAAATAAAAAATTAAAATACTGGCAAGTGTTTCAACTGCCTCCCGCAGTGCCACATCCTACGCCTTTTTTTTTTTTTTTTTTTTTTTTGTTCTTTCCTACCTCGCCGTTTAGGCTATACGGGATTTTCCCGGGTCGGGGGGTGAGGGCGTGGAATTTAAAATCCCCTCCGGCACCGGGACACGAACTCGTACTTTTTTATATCATCTCAAATCTCTGTTATCGGGTTGCCAGACAACTAGCGGTGCTGTGCACACGCTTTTGCCTATTCGGCCACCCCGCCCCCTGCATCCTATGCCCTGAAGAGGACCTGCAAAGTGGGTCGAAACGTCGGCAAAAATTAAAATAATTTTTTAATAATAATTTTAAATTTTTTTATTTATTTGACCGCACCCTCGACTAACTCCTTCTCATATTATATCAACGGTCAACCATCTCTACATCATTTAATTTATTTATTTTATTTTGATGTAGGCGAATTATGTCATACATCCTTCATTGCTAGTAGAGGAAAGGGGACCTCATTGTTGAAGCTTGTTCAACTCCAGCTCTCAATATGTAAATAAACTTTTCCTAAATTCTTTATTTTTTAATGTTCTCTTGATCCTATTGTTTACTACTAACTCTTTAAAATATAATAAATCAGTTGTATGGATCACTACAAAAGGATTTTATGCTCTTCCTCGTCTTTTTTATTGAGTTAGTTAATTCTCTATTTCTCTTTGATTTAAGTTTTACTAAGTTGTATTATTAAGTTAACTATTAAGATTCATTTTATCTGTATGCATCTGTTTCTTATCCAATGCAAGTTTATTTAAGTATCAGTAGATATGATTTATAAGTGTTAATTATTTAATTTTAATAACTTACCTTCTATTTTTAATTTGAAAATAGTTTTCACTGGTCCAGAAAAGATTTTTATATGTATATATTTTTTATTGGGCGTTAAATTTTGGAAGAAATTTAGAAATCATATAAAATCAATTTATAAAAATATATTTCGTATAAAAATATTTACAATGCACAGTTACAGTAAAAAACAAAAGTATAAAAACTATACACCTATAATAATTACGTTATGGAATCCTCTAGGGACACCAGAATTAAGAATAAATTTATAACATTGGTATCGTTTGTTCAATAAATACAAATACATAACCTATATGGCAAGATTAAAATATTAAATTGACTATGAATTGTATAAAAAAACAAAACAAAAAATGAATGGTAACTAGGCTTATAAGGTAAAAAAAAATTAGTTTACAATAAGTGAATGTACAAAACGTGACAATTTACATTTGAGGAATCTTGTTGTTGACTATTGACTGAGGTCAAATAATTTCCAAGTGATCATTAACATTCATTACTTTTTGCCAAAAAATGAATCATACTCTGGTATCCTTGGCGAAAGGTGTGCGTGTACATCTTCCTTCCAGTAGCTGAGGTCGAGGGCTGGGATGCTATGTGTGTCGTGACAGGATACAAGTCGGTTCCTATAATTATGAAAAATATATAAAATTCATCCATATTAAGTTACAAATTTTGCTTATACTCTTCTATTTGCAAGTTACTTACTTTTCTGAAATGACTCTAAAACCTTCAGGCTGCATAGTTTGAATATGATCACCATTGTCACAAAGAAGCCTTGAAACAGTAGCTTTTCTGATTTCTCTCAGTTGTTCTAAAAAAATAATCAATAATTTAATGTCACTATAATATAATAATTCATTAATAACATTATATTTGTTATTTGTCCCTATCATAACATTATGAAGATATAAACTGGATTATGACTCAATAAAAAGTTATGAATTGTATTGTTTAAAAAATAATATTTAACGACTACTGTTGTTTTCTTAAAGTGAAATTAAGTTTCTTTGGGTTGAATTGTAATTAGCTATTTGATCATTCATGTGTACAGACTATTCATATTGAAGAAAATATTTTATAAAAATAATAATGAGAGAATTATGTTTTCCAAAATAATTATTCATTGTAATTTGTTGTTTTGTTCGAAAAATTAAATTTTTTTATTAAAAAAAACTGTAATGGAAAAGAAAAGTAAGTCTGTTTTATTTAATATTTTTTTAGCTTCTTATTTATATTAAAACTTGAAATAGAAAAATCACAGAATGGGCTGCAGATTACATTCTAATTATACTTAAGAAGGTTTCTATAAATTTTGTTTCATAATTTTTCAAGGATTATTAAAATGCTAATTGTAATTTTTGTGAGTTATTTGAAATATCAACCTTTCACTCAGTTTAACTTTGTGAATTTTACTTAATTTATTTTCAGTGACAGTAGATTGATGTAGATATTTATATATTATAGTAATATATATTTCTTCATTTGAATTCGTAGTATTATGTTTTATAAAGTCGATATTATTGCGAATCGTTAATTTACCTGGTGTAAAAGCTCCATAATGGTCTCCTCTTTCGTAGAAGAACCTATCTCCAACTCTTGTTCTGTAGAATTGTTCGGTCATGATACATAGGAATGTAGGACCAGTAAGTGTATCTTTTATGTGAGCTTCAACTGATGCACCAACAACAAGATCAACATCGTCAGGGTGGTGGTAAAGAATTGAGAGTTTTTGTACATTCTGCAATTAATCATTGTAAATTTAGTGAAAAAATAATACAAGTACAAACTAAGAAGATAGCTTTTCTAGACAATCATAACTTAAAAACAATAATTATTTTATTATTAGCAACACAATTTTAAAAATATTACCTAGAATTTTATATATATGAACAGCTTTTCTAATTTATTTTCTATAATTCCATAATATATCGAATTGTAAAATGGACCAATTTTGAAATCTTACACTAAGCCTCTCATTATTGGCAAATTATCGGAAATGTATATCATCTCATATGATTTCAAAATTTAGATTGATATTGATGCATTTTACTTGAAAGAATTGATATTTAATTTTTACTTTCTACATTTATGAATAGATTTCAGAAAAGAACAGGAAAAAAATTAAAAATATCTAAGAACATTAAAAGTGTTATTTCTTATAAATTAAAAATATTTATAAACTCGATAAAATGCCTCATGCTGCTTGTACTAAATTGTTTTTTCCAAATCAATATGTTATTTATTATATTTTTTTCAGGTATGGAATAGATATGAAGAACATTGTATTCTTAGTATATAAATATATTCTTATAAGTTTGTCTTACTTCAGGATTAATGAAATCTTTAAAGTCTTCCCAGTGTTTAGCTCTTGGGAGTCCACAGAATTCCCTGTAATCGTTGTATGATGAAAGACCATGATCTCTTCCTCGCTGGATGTCAATAGCTCTTAGATCTCGTCCAAATGGCTTACCATTTCTGAATAAGTAGTCTGTAATCTGAATAAACATAATAGTTTTAATTAAAAAAAAGTGTAGTAATTTATATAAATATATTTGATCATATTTAAGGGATTTATCTTGATTTTATTGTTTCATAAATTAGAAATTTATGAATGCTTATATACTTTAATGTTGTGACTTTTCTACAGTTGCTGTTGTTGAGATGTATTACTTAATTAGATGATATAATGGAGGATGTTAGCAGTTCTTGTAAGATAAAATAGATGTCAACTATACGATTTTTTTTTAAATTACCTCACTGGTTAGGAATGGATCAACTTCTTCCTGATTTTGTGTTGACAATCCTCTGGTCAACCTATCCATGTTGTCACCTTCTTCAATAACTCCTGGTCGGTTGAAGAAATCACTTAGTCTGAGAGCACCATAAACTTCTCTTCGTTCTCCAATAAGACTAGAATAAATTTTGGTTATTAAATATTTGTTCAAATTAAGTTAGTTTAAATGTTTCAGTTTTATGCATGAATCTTAGTTTTAAAGTAATATTTGTAATAGCTATTAAAATAATTATAGGAGAGATCCATTATAAATCCTAAAACTTTTTTCTATCATTCATTTACCGATTTATAGTGTTTTTTCCTTTAAATAGATATTAAATCTAAAACAAATCAATTTTATACTATAAAACTTTATACATTTTGGAAGAATTTACATTTAGTTTATGTTTTTATTTCATTTGAATTAGCATTCTATAACTTGTTACATATTTTGTGATACATATTTACTTCTCATTAGAAAAAAAAAAAGAAAGAAAGACCGATGTTACACACAACACTCTAAAATTTTAATACAAACGATAGAGAAAATAAAAAGGAAATTCTTGTTTAAAAAATATACTTTATGAAATGTTTAAAAATTCCAAATGTTTAAAGTTAATAATTATAAAATGTTTGATTCTGGCCACTTATGGGTGAAGATGTTATAAATAAAATAATGAATAAATAAGTTTTTAGAATCATAATTATTTTAATTCCATATGGATATTCATTATTGAGAAAGTTAATATTTTTTGTTTTAACTATTACTTATTCATTCTTGATTAATTATATATAATTTTTATTAATAAGTTAGTTATACTTACTGTAGTTGTCCTTGAATTGCGGAATGGAAGTATCTGAATGCAGCTGTGGCATGGCCATTAAGAACACTTGGGTCAACATCTTCTCTGTAATCATTGACATAGCCGTCAGTCTTATAGAGGACTCCGTGTTTAACCATGTTCTTTGTTCCTGAAAGAATTATATTTATATTTTAATGGTTTCTAATGGTTTTTAATGGTTAATATCACTATTTAGTTTATATTAATTATTGTTAAAGTATTAAAATTAGAAATTATATGACTAACACTTTGATTATACTTATATTATTGACTTTTTAGTTGAATTCTTTTTTTTAAATTTAAATAGGTATGTACATTGTTTAAAAAACAAAACAAATTTTAATGAAGAAGTTAAGATATTTGGAAAATTATATAATAGTGATTCATGATACTTGCAGAAAGTTTAGAATTTTTCATTTGTTTTAATAATTTCCGAAGCGTGATCATCTTTATGAAAATCTATATGATCGTTATTTTAGATAGAAAAAGCCTTCTCAACTATTCATAATAATTTAATGTGCATTTTTATTTTTTTGGTAATAGGCATATTTAATATTGGGTTGTTCAGAAAATAATGCAGAATTCTGAGTTTTCTTTAAAATACCCCTCTATATAACAAAATATTTATGTTTACTGGATTATTTGTTTGTATGAATGTCAACACTTATTATTCCTCTTCTAAATGATAATGTTTGTTTACCTCTGTAGCATTTTGCTGCTTAGAAATAATTCAGTCTTTACTAAGATGTCAATGTGTGATTTTCGTATAATTTTTTTTTACGATTTTAAGCTCATACGTAATGGAACCCAGACAGCCAAAAAAATCAATTAAGTCTGGGGCAAGAGCAGTATTAATGAGTGCACTATTCAACAGTGGTTCAAAAAATTTTGGGAGGGAGACTTAGCCTTGAAGACAAAGAAGGTCGTGGAACTTCCTCTCTTGATGACGATGTTATGCGGGCTTTGATGGAAGAAAACACCAGAACAACTGTTTGCAGGGAAACTTAACCTTACCAAATTGTCCATCGATGACCACTTAAAGGCGTTTGGAAAAGTAAAAAAGCTTAAAAGTTGGGTTCCACACACACACACACACAAAAAAAAAAAAACAGTGCTATGAAGTTTGTACCACATTTCTTTGCTGAAACAAAAACGACCCTTTTCTGTCCAAATTGTTACTTGTGATGAAAAGTGGATACTTTATGATAACATTAGACATTCTGGGCAGTTACTTGACAAAGGAAAAGCAGCAGAACATTTTCCGAAGCCCCCAACTCATCTAAAAAAGGTGATGGTTACTGTTTGGCGGGCTTTATTTGGTTTGATAGACTACTGCTTCTTAAATCCAGGAGGAACCATCAATGCCAAATCGTATTGTAATCAAATTAATTAAATACATCAGAAGTTGGCAATAACGAAGCTATCTTTGGTCAATTGGAAGGGGCGCATTTTGTTGCATGACAATGCCTGGCCACATGTCTTAAGTGTCACAAAAACTATTGGAGCTTGGATATGAAATTCTGCCACATCCACCCTACTCTCTGGACCTCTCAACTATGGATTATTATTTTTTCTAGACATCTGGACCACTACTTATGTGACAAAAAATTTAATGGACAAAGGGAATTAGAAAATGCGTTTTTGGAGTTCATCAATTCTAAAGATGGGAAATTCTATTCTGAGAAAATGAAAAAGTTGCCAACACATTGGCAAAAATGTATTGATAGTAGTGGAGACTGTTTTGATTAAATAAAACAGTTGTAAATATTTTCTTTTTAAACCAAAATTTTGCATTATTTTTGGGATGACCCAATACATTTTACATCTTGTTAGCAATGGTTATGTAATCAATAAAATGATTTTTATTTCTTAAAAAATAATTAAAGTCATGACATAATATTTTTCTGTTGAAAATTACTAATGAATAACTCATGATAATAAAGAAAATTACTTTTAAAATACTTTAAAGCATTTGAGTGCTATCAGTGAGTAGTTTCTCAAGAAGAGATTTCATGTTATTATATTCCTGAGTACAAATTTACTAGTTGTATTTCTTTTTTTTTATAATACAGTTGTAAATATCAATGAATAAAAAAAACAACAACTTTAAAGCAACATAAAAGCTTATTTTTTTTTTGTATTTAATTAATTATCTTTCTAATTAAAAGTTATATTAATAAAGTTAGGAAATCACAAATATTTTTCTTTTTGAGTACATGAAAATATTATTTTATAGGAGAAAAAAAGGTTTTTAATTATTTCTGATTTTTTTATCATATTGATTTGAGCAAATAAATATTTAGATCATCATAGACTGATCCACTTTGAGGGATAGTTATTTTTTAATATTGCTTGCTTATTACTCTTCAGTAATATCACATAATATATTATCCCAAAATAATGATCAGTTTGATTAACAAAAAAAAAAATTGAAACAATTGAGCTAAGTAAAAAAAACCCAATTCTAAATCAAATGAATAAATTAATATATTTTCAAGCCGATGAATATTCATTAAGCAATAATGGAATGAAAAAATTATGAGATAAAAAAAAACAGCAATTACTTAAGAAAATTTAAAGCTAAGATATTGTCAACTTGTTTTGCATCAGCTTACCAATAAAGATTGGAAGCCACTCAGCATAATTGATGTGTTGATATTCAGCGATAAGAATCCTTCTAGCCTCCTGGAATATTCTCTCATCATCCCAATGAGGATTAAGATGTTGAAGGATATCTGCGATTCTGTTATGTTCTCTAAGGAGAATGATCTGAATAACAGTCAACTGTGGATTTTGGTTGGCTCTTACATCACCTGTTTTGTAAATAAAAAAATAATTGAAAACTTTCAAACTCAATAAAATAAATATCTATATATACCTTTATAGCATTATGAAATGAAAAGATGAGTCTTAAATATTTACATAGCAGTTTAGGTTAGTTGAGGAAATCTAAATACAGAAGAGAAATATTGATTTGTTTCATTTTTGGCTTATATAGGCGGGTTCGATCTAAATAATTTTTGCTTAAATTAAAAAAAGTTTTCCTTATGAAATTTAAGTTATATACTGTAAATGAGCTGAACTTGCTTTAGTTAATATGGGGTAAGAGAACCATATCTTTCAATAAGATCAAGACAATATAGACTACACTCATAGTCACTAGCAGATCCAAGATTTAATTTTGGGGCTTCAGCCCGAAAGCTTTTTTTTTCATATATATATAATGATAATTACTTAGATAAAAAGAAAGATACTAACTACGTATATGAAATAGTGTTTAAGTCTTATTAAATGTAATTACATGAACAATAATACTTTAAGAGATAATTTTTAAATATTTTTTTTTCTCCATAAAACAAGGTTACATTATACCATTTTGGAGATAATCTGCCTGTGCTCATAGCCTTAGTATAACTTCTTTTTAGATCCGGATTATGCTCTATCAATTATTTATAATAAGACATAAGTATAATTTTTCAGGAAGGTATCAGAGTATGTATATTAAGCCAAATTATAATATTATAGTAGTAGTTTGGGGATAGAATATTATTAAAATCAGAATTCAGATCTTTATAGACATTAAATATCCAGAGATCAGTTTTATTAACCATATTTTCCTTTGTAATCGCGAAATCTAGAGTGGTGTTAGCTAGTACATAACAAATCGGGCACAATCATAATCTATTAAGTTTTTTAGTCAGCCCTGTGATGTTTTGAAATATACTAATGATACCATACTAGGTTAATAAAAGGAAACTCATTAGTTTAAAAGGAAAATTAATAAAGAGATCAAGAGAGTGTTTAGAATCAAGAAAATAAATAAATATTATACCAAATCTGTAGCAGGGTTCATCATCATCTTGAGTTTCACAAGTGGCACTCTTGTTGACGGCTGGTGGTGGCCATTGCCTGCCATCTCTAACTTCAACAACCAGTCTTCCGCCAAAACCTTGTCTTAAGGCTGCTGCAGTTTCTGGAGTGGAGCCGTATACAAGTGAAGCATCCATGTAATGACTTACAGTTACAATCTAAAAACAAATAATTTTTTTCAATTTAATTTTTATTTGATCAAAGGGTTGAAAACTTAGTTATATTTAACAATCTTATTTATCCATTAATAACTGAATAGGATGAGTCGTACCTACTATTTGACCAAATTAAATAAATATTAAACGATATTAATTAATAAAAGCTAAAAATAATACAATACTTTGTAACTCAGCCAGAATTTATAGAACAACGGCTCTTAGTAAACATGGAGAAAAAATGTTATTACATGTTATTTTATATATATTTATATTTTCTTTTTATTATACCTGTTCATGGGGAGAATGAGGTGGTTTGCAACCAATATCAGCATCTGTAGTACTCCTCACAAAATTCATGCACATTTGACCGTATTTGTGGAAAAGAGGATCATCTCCGGGAATCTCAATGGCGAAGCAGCTGGATGGAGCTTGTCCATATGGGATTTGAAGTCTTCCATCTGGGCTACAGCACTGGGATGTAGCATATGGTTCTAAAAACAATTAATTTAATCTGTAGTAAATGATAGAAGACAGTGTTTTAAATTTAGTGTTTCATTATCTGTTTATATAATGACAGTTTAATTTTTCCTTTTACTCAGGAGTAAATTTGCAATTTTTAAGTATTTGTTTAATCCATTAAATCTCATGAAATGATGTATGTGCATTTATATAACATATTGTTAATTTATTCACATATACATTTTTTTAAAACGATGATTTAGAATTTTTACTGAATATATGAAGTTACAGTAGAGATATCCTGGTATAAAACTTTAAGAATAAGTAGACTAAAAAATGAAGATTTGAAAAAAAAAGAAGAAAATTGATACAGTAGAAAATAAAAATCTATTAAATATGTAGTGTATAAATTATAATTATAAAACTTACGAACATTTAAGAAAATAATTGTAAATAAAACAGATAATACATAAATTATTGACAGTAACACAGATGAGATAGAAAAGAAAAGTTGGGAAAGGGACAGGGAAGGATACATATAACAAGTTCTTTAATGATACAATTCTGTGTAACTTATAAAGATTATAACTTCAGCAATCTAATTATAAAAAGTTAATTCAGTTTTAATATTTTTTATGGTGTTATTCATCATTCATTGTCACTGATGTGATAAATTTTTATCTGCCAAATGTAATGTAAATTAAAGACTAATTAAAAGTAAACAAAAGCTAATTTAACAATTAAAATTTGAAAAAAAACAACAACTAAAGAATGCCAGTTTGTGTGAATTAATATTTGGCAAATGGTAAAAGAATAAAATTTAACATTCTCAAACTGAAATGAATAATTTAACCATGCCAAAAATAAGTGAACATCAAATATGTTAATTTATCTTAATAAAAGAGAGAAACCCTAACTTGGGCCACTCGTTGAAATATCAGGCTTTCTCTAGCTCCTGCAGACACCAATCAACAAAATATTACTTATTATTATTTAATATACTAAATATTTATTGCTTACCTTAGTATTTATTAATTAACAGAAAGCTTTAATATTATTTCTTACTTTCATCTACCGATATTACACTCACCAGTAAGGGAAAGTATTGGGCTCGTGAAAAATTCAAATTGGAGTCATCAAAAGAAATACTCCTTCTGACTCCAAATAGCCAAGTCTCGCAAAATGGTTTGTGTGTTTATGTGAACAGCCTACCACAATAATGAAAAGTTGTTCGAAACTGAAATTATTTCTAAATATGTCTGAGATATTAAAACAACTTGTGAAAATTTTATTTAAGGTTATTAAATTCCATCCCCTAGCGTATATCCTAAAATTCTTATGAAAGTATTAATATTTGAGTGAACTGTTAAAATGGTTAAGTAACAAGCTACTGCCTTCTTAATCTATGAGACCATCATGGGTAAAAATTTATTTATGTATCAGTTATTATCAGATAGTAAAAACGATATAAGTTTCTTTTTCTGGATTACTTAGCGAAGTCGTGATTAGATTGGAATAATTTAATCTGGAATAGATAAAATCATTGTTGAGGCAACATGATGCCCCAATTGTACCAGAAGAGAAAATTTTGAGATTTCATAGCTCAGCTGCCATGCATAAGCAGGGAAGGTGAGTGTCTGTTTCTTAGTTGTATAACACTGGCTGCCTTCAGCTCTGTATTTATGATAGTCATTTTCATATTTATGGAATAAGCATGGCTCATGTAGATATATCAATGTCATTTAGGAATGAGTTAAAGTCCTGCATAAATTACTCTAAACTACCGCGGGTCTTACAAGGTACTTAGAAAGAGCTTTCTCAGTCTTATGTATTGCACAATGGTCTTAGCTAGTAAAGCAGGGTTTTTAACTAATGTAAGTAAAACGATTGTCAAGCAATACTAACTCTTTTTCGAAATTCTGATAAAAACGTGAAAGTTGGATTTATTTCGCTTTTACTGAGGCTAAACCAGCTACTTAATATGATATTTATAACCAGAACATACTATACAATATCACATATAACGACATACCAATAAGATTGCGAACCTGAATCGTAAACTCACCTTATTCAGTTATATATGACTTTATTCACGTAAATAACTATATTTTCAAGACGAAAATGGAAAAGAAAAATTTATCGCTATTGAAAAAGTTATATCTTGTATTCTTACATTATTTAATCATCAGTTGGCGATTTTGTTTTTATTATTTACATCATTGAGTAATTTTTCTCACAATTATTGATCTCTAACATCTTTCAATTTTATTTGTTTTAATACCTTATAATATATTAATTCCCAATATTGAAATCTATCAGGAAAAAATATGAAGAACTGACATTTGATTCTAAAGGGTTCGGTAGTTTTCAGGTTGGGTGACATCAATGTAGCGAATTCGGTTAGATGGGATTTCGAAAGGTTTTCGCAACTTAAACTATTCCAATTGACAGAGCTGTTGATTATATCATATATTAGTACAGTGTAGGCCTTAGACATTTGGTGCCCCCGAACAATGAAGTCATTCCCCCAAAAAAATTAATTTATTTCTTAAATTGTTTTATGTTAAGTAATATTTGAATTTAATTTAATTTAATATGTCTCTAAAGTTGCTTTTTTAACAAGCTAGAACTGTATATGTCCTTATACGCTTTGTAACAGTTGTTTCAAATTCCTTAAAAAGTGACGGACTTCCCTTCGCAGGACGGCACTCCGAGGCAATTGTCCGGCTCTGCATTAGTAGTTTAATACCATACATGGTTAAATCGGAACAAAGCAAAATTTTCATTTCATTAGCGAATTCAAGGGTGAGGTCTTACGGGCTGGACCCATATATGTTTCTATGAATGATCTGAGCCAAGTGCAAAACACGCTTTATCTTTAAATTATGACGCTTGTATATAAAGTCATTATATGTAAGTACGTGTGTAAGTAAGTTTTTTTTTCGTTCTTTTCTACTCTACCTCAACTTTTGGACGTAGACTCAGCGTGTTTTCTAACGTAACATACGCAAACATAAACATTTTATTCCTTAAGACATTATTTTCTTCCTTTAATTACCAAACAATAATATCCGAAAAATTATACAAAAGCCCTGAAAAAAATGTTTAGCTCTCTCACAATTGAATCTTAAATCCGCAATGTGCTATAGCAAAATACGTGTGTAATCACTTTTGCCTAACGTCTTGACTTTGCGTAATCTGATTTTTTAAATGATATTTATTTTTTAGGAGGAGAGAAAAAATATCGAGTATTCGACTTTTATCGAAAATCAAGATGCAAGATTTTTTTTCCTGGGAAGAAGTGGTATTATGAACTAATTGGATAGCTGTCAGAAATAAGGGTCGGATAAAATAAATATAATGTTTTATACTTTTAGAAATTGTTTCTGAAATTATTTTTTTCATAGAGCAAAATACGAAAGTTGTAAAATTTCATATTTGAATTGATCACTGCTGTACGAGTTTCATATCAGCTGAAAATTTCATTCTTTTAAAAGTGGTACACATTTATGGATTTATACTTTCTATTGCATTTAAGGAATTTAATAACATTAATAACATTTAATCAGAGAGAAAAATTCTGTAATTATTTCGTCTGCTGTATAAGCGATGGGTACATAAAAGGCCAGCATGCAAAGAGGATATGTGCCAGGATGGGAGTTAAGGAACGCCAGGCACAGATTGGAGAACTTACAAATTAGGTAAGAAGGTTCACGATTCGGCAAATTGGTTTCCTAATGGAAGAGTTGCAAGGTTCTTCCCAAAGCCATGTACTTAGGCCAACACTTAACCGGCACTTGAGACTCTTTTGGTTAGTGGATTGCGATTTCCGAAGTCACTTAACCTTATGTCGAATCGCTTCAGAGTCTGAAATAATGTAAGCAGGACGAGCCCTCTCAAGTATTTTATGGCTATTAAAAAAAAAAAAGTATACATATTTTCCTGTAAAAAATGCCATATCTGTCAGATAATTTGTGCAATATAGTAAGATTTTTCAGGTCTGTTTGGCTTATAGCTAAGATGAATGTTCTTTTCGTAAATTAATTATATAAGGGAAAATCTGGTATCAAAAGTTATTTAAAAACGAGAAAAATACAGTTTATTAATCGGTCAAGATAGCCACTATATGAAAATGTGCAATTTTAAAAGTGACTTATAAGTGAAAAGTCAAACAAAAATTAATAAAAAATATACAATTGCAAGTTGCTTAAGACCGGTGTAGATTTCGGGTCCATTTACACATGTCCTTGGTAAGTCATTTTTGTAATATCCAATTGCGTATGAATTGGATTACCTGATATGTATGGAGAGACCATTTTCAAATTACATCAGTTTGGAATGTTGAATAAATTATAATTCTATAATTTTTCTAAGCAAATATAAATAAATAAGAGATAAGTTCAGATTCAAAAACAGGCTTTATGTAGTGTAAAAAAAAAGAAAGAAACTTTATAAAAATTTGTAATCACGTATTATTATTATTATATACGCCAATGTACTACTGACGCCAAGAAGAAACGAATTTTACTGTTTTATTAATTGAACCAGTGAACAACAATACGAAATGATGCGTTTAAAATTATAGAACTATTTTGTCGAGTTATATGACATTCTCCCGTTTTATTGATTTGTTATCGCTATTGATCTCACCGTCAAAAAATGCGGACAATGGATACTTGAAGAAATTCTAAAATTAATATAAATTTATGCAATAGCGAATTCCTTCAGTAAATAAAAAAAAGAAATGTTAATTGTTTTTATTGTGTGTTAATTTAATTATTTACAAGGTTATATTTGAAATATTAAAAATTACATTATTGGAGTATCGAAAAATAACATGTTAAAAAATTATTTTTGTTTCTTGAAAAAAACAAACAAACAACTGTATTCCAAAATTAAATTACTTTTTTTTTTAGTTAAGGGCTAAAATGAAACAAAAGTGGTTGAACTACACACATTTTTACAAATAAATAAATAACAAAAATTGGAAAAAAAATACACAGCGTTGTGTCAGTAAAATGCAGGTAACAAACAATATAATTTTGAAAGAAATATGTTTGCATTTCATACTTTACCTGCATTTTAAAGCCACAAGGAATTTTCTAATTATAACATACATTTGATTCTCTTTCCCATGGTTAGTATTTCCCTCTTTTATATTTATTAATTATTTACATTTTTTCACGAATTTAACAATATTTCAGTGTTTTGGAAATCTAAAATAACGAAAGATATATTAGAAGTGGTTTTTACTATGAATGATATTTTATATTTTAGGAATGTCAATTTTGGTTTATTATTTTCTATAATGAACCATTGTAATCGTCAAAAAAATTAAAAAACAACCCCCCATCCAAATTTGAGGTTTTACGTTTCAGGATACTTAGAATTCAAACTTCGAATAAAAATTTTTTTGTTCATCCGCCATCCGATTTTTTCAAATTTGGATTTAAAGTCAGAGGTCACCCACGGATGATCCTCCTACATTTACGTTACTATCCGCCCTTTCCTTTCAAGATGGCGGTCGAAAAACCTGTGTTGGCATTGACTGTAGCGTCTGAACGAATGTACCGATTTCAATGAAACTTGGCTAAAATCTTCTTTTCGATGCGCTTTAAATTTACCTATATAACATTCTTCATAGAAAAGACGCTGGAAAAATAGTTTTGAGGGGTGGTTTAAAATTAAAAATGTGTAAAATTAGATTTCCGAATAACTAAAAAGTATACACTTTTTTTTTTTTTTTTTTTATAAAGTTTACGAACTTTTCTACATAACAAAAAAAAAAAAAAAAATCGTTGAAATTGAACAATTCGGAACGAAGATATGGTGTCTAGATATTTTTTATTTGCTCTACTGCAAATGTTATATCCTTTGTTTTGGTATTTGATTTTTGAAAGTGTTACTGAAGCAATGCTATTTTTTTAAGCAAATTACTAATGATGAAAAAAAAAATGTTTAGGCCAATAATAAGAATCACCTTTTATTTATTTTTCTTTATATTACCTGGAAGGTAATGTTACTTTAGAAGTATAACTGACTGAAAATATTAAACGATTGTGTAATAAATAGCAGCGTTTTTTTTTAGATAAAGTTATATGAATTAAATACAAAATAAATTCAAATATGAAGTGCACTTACTTGTCTGTGTAGTTCCCATAGCCATGGACATGTCGTGAGTTATGATCTGTCCCCATTGCATAGAGATGAGAGTCCAGACGGGGTCTGGCACTGGGTTATCTGGGAACATGACGATGCTCACCAATCTAGCTCCTGGGAGGTTAGTACCAATTACCGAAGTTGGTGGAGCATGGATTCCTAAACAAGTATATTAATTATAATACATTTTTATACAGTATAAGTCGACATTTATTCATAATTATATAGAACGTTTAGTGCAAAAGTAATACAACTAAAAAAACTGACGGTTCGAGATATTTAACACTCTAAAAGTGACATCTCTAAAGATAAGTATAAAGTAATAATTGGTATTAACAGGTAAGAAATAATATCTTATTTTATTTTTTAAAAATAGTCATTCTGAAGTGTATCCAAGTGTATATTTAAAAACAATAAGTCAATACATACAATAATTAATTAATTATTTATAATATTACTTCCAATATTCCACTCAAAGGCTCAGATGATATTAAATGAGAGAAAAATTAAAAAAAATAAAACAAAAATAATTCATTAGTTCATTCATCAGTTCATTCACAGCACCGAACTCGTGTCCTCAAGCTCACAACATTAAGTAATTACGTTTTTGTGAATAACGACTTTATTTTTTGGTGCGAAACCCCCAAAAAGTGCAACATAATGAGACTTTTTTACTAATGAAAATTACGTATCTAAAGTGCATATTGTTTTATTTCAAAGAGGGAAATGCATTAAAACACTTAGTAATTTAATTTTCTGAAATATGATAAATAAAATAAAAGTCTGAATATTTTTTTGAGTTATTTTAGTGACTACCGTGGACGTATTTCATAATTTTCAAAGTGTAGCCCGAATATTTAAATTTACAGTTAGGAAAATTTAAGGAATGCTCATTAAAATAAAATGTAACTTCGACATAAAAAAAAACAAAAACAAAACGAGAACGCAGAAGACAAAGAGAAATTTTTTTTTAAAGATAACAGAGAATTAGAATATTCCATTGTATTCTACATAGTATAAGGAATTTAATTGACATTATTTAACGTCAATGATTAGATCTATAGAATACGATAATATTCCTATGATCTACAATAAAAGTTTTATATATGTATAAACCTCTTTTTTTTTTTTTCTATTTATATTTTTTGTTCTTGTTTTTTGGGTATCTGTAAGTAATATTATGTGGATAGATTCGTTTCATGCAGGTTACAGGCTTAAAGTTTTCTCAATACATTTTGTATTTTCTTTGATTCATTTTACTTACCGGGGGTCTACAAAGCCATCGAATTCCTTACGCATCCAATCCTTACAATCCAAAATCCTTCGTAAAATCCTCACTGCTCCTAACTTTGTCACTAATAAAATCATCCATCAGGACCTTAATGTTCCTTATATTTCCGAATTGGCCCAATCCAGGTACCTATCCTTCCATAATAAACTTCAAAACCATCCGAACCCTCTCGTTTCTAACATTGCTTCCTATTCGATCCCTGATAACCCTCCGAGGCGTCTGAAAAGAAGATGGCCTCGAGATCTTCTATTTTAAATGCATTTTTTTTTTTTTTTAGAGTTCTACCAGTGGGTAGTTCCTCAACAAGTGTTTTCATGTTTTTATTTTCTGTTATCACATTTACTTAATGTATTCTCTCTTAATACAGTTGTAAATATCATAAATAAAAAAATACTTACCATCAGAGTACCTATGGGGGAGGAGCCTGGCATATCTAGTGTTGGGTGTACCAAGGCCTGGGTTCTTGAGATTGTTGCAGGATCCATCGATGGTTCGGAACTTGCTGTGTTGGCAGGGTGCGTAGAAGGGCTGGCAAGTCGGGGGTGGGCTGGCTGCTGGGATCTGGCCTGGGTATGGGGAGATGCTGTTGGCAAAGTTGGATATTTATTGTAACATCATAATACATTTATAATAATAATACAATATATAGTTATAAATATATTATCAGACCATTTAAATAAACATACTGGGTATGTTTGAAATGAAAGTGACTTAGCTTCAGTTCCAATACATATAAGATATTGGATATTAGTTTACCAGCTTCGTATTGTTAGCAGGTATCAATACTGTTAAGTATCCTCATAAGAACCATCTTGTCAAATGAATAAAATCTAATGCGTTGAGAATATATATATATATATATATATATGGTTCAATTATATGAATTGCTATATAAATTTATACTTCCTTTTGAATAAGGAAGAGTGTAATAAGTTGGTTACATGTAGGATAAACATAGTAATAGAAACATATAAACATAGTAATAGAAAATTTCTACCACGTAACCAAATAAATGTCAGTTCATGAAAATGTTGAAGCAAAAGAAATAATCGAAAAATTAAATATAATTGTCCATCAAATTAAAATGATACATTCTCAATTTTCCTATGTTTATGTAAAAATTTTAGTTATTCATCAACTTTAGTGATCATCGTCAGAATATAATTTCAAATTTATCACGATATTATCAATTTTCGGACTGGTCCATGTATTAAGATGTGAATGAAGTTTATATTATTTAAATATATTTCTTTTGTAATCAATAATCTTTACTTGAGGAGTGAAACACCATTCCTGATTTATTAAAGCGTCCTTAATGAAAAGCCCCTCTCTCACTTCCCTTTGTTTAAAACAGGTTTTCTTTTTCGGTCCCAGAAAATGGAAACCACTTAACGAACAGAGAGTTTGTGATGATAAAAATATCATATCAGATGTTTTCACTTTGAATGTAGAATTTTTATTTATCGCATTAATAATTAATTGTAAAGTTGATGGAGGTGTGCTCAGTGGCAAAAAAGTTGTACGTTCTTGCGGATTAAACTGATTTGAATTCAGTTTTCTCGAAACTAGCAAAATGTTACTTATCGCCGTTGTCGACTAGTACCTCAATTAGGTTCTATCACATCTACTTCCAGGTATTTAAAACCTAACTACTAAGAAAAAACCAAAGAATAAAAATATGTCTTATCTTATTATATAATATTTATAATATATATATATATATATATATATATATATATATATATATATATATATATAATAAATATTATATAATAGATATTATATAATATAAATATTATATAATATAATAGAATAAAAATATGTCTTATCTTATTATATAATATTTACCGAAAAAGAAAACCTGTTTTAAACAAAGGGAAGTGAGAGAGGGGCTTTTCATTAAGGACGCTTTAATAAATCAGGAATGGTGTTTCACTCCTCAAGTAAAGATTATTGATTACAAAAGAAATATATTTAAATAATATAAACTTCATTCACATCTTAATACATGGACCAGTCCGAAAATTGATAATATCGTGATAAATTTGAAATTATATTCTGACGATGATCACTAAAGTTGATGAATAACTAAAATTTTTACATAAACATAGGAAAATTGAGAATGTATCATTTTAATTTGATGGACAATTATATTTAATTTTTCGATTATTTCTTTTGCTTCAACATTTTCATGAACTGACATTTATTTGGTTACGTGGTAGAAATTTTCTATTACTATGTTTATATGTTTCTATTACTATGTTTATCCTACAAGTAACCAACCAAGTTATTACACTATTCCATATTCAAAAGGAAGTATAAATTTATATAGCCATGGTTCATATTTTGTTGAATATTATTGTAGTCTTCATAAGTATTAAAACATTCTTTTCTCAGCATATTGGAGAATTAGACACCCATTTAAGGTTGAAACCTTCCGATCTCTCTTGAAAATAAACAATAAGTTGACTTAAACTAAAAAATATATAACTATATTTAGTTAATCATTAGCCATTGATATATCAACTATTAACTTTTTAGTCTTTTAAATGACCGGTAATTTATTTGTTTTTCACTCTTCTGATCTTTCGAAGGTATGTTTTTATTTTACCAGGTTTTTGGTTTTATCGGTTTAATAAAATATCAAGTAGATAATTTAACATTATCATTTTGGCAATGCCGCCATCACAGGAGTGAAAACTCTAAAATAATATCTATTAATGCACTAGCGGATCCAGGATTTAATTTTGGGGGCTTCAGCCCGAATGATTTTTTTTTCATATACATATAACGATAATTAATTTGAAAAAAAAAGTAATCAACTACCCATATGAAATGGTGTTTAAGTGGTTCCTGAAGTTCTATTAAATGTAATTAAAGGAAGAAGAATACTTTAAGAGATAGTTTTTAATATTTTTTTCTGTAAAATATGGTTATAATTTACCATTTTGGGGGGGAGGGGCTTCAGCCCGAAAGCCCCTCCCGTAGATCCGCCTGTTTATTAATGTGAACAAGAGATATTATTCCCCACTTCAACATTTTGATACTTGTGAACACATTGGAATTTTACTAACAGCAGTTGAACTAGTACCCTACTTTTATTTTTTAAATATATGTGTATTAAATTGTTTAAAAGAGATAGATCTTATCTATATGGTTAGTCAACACGTTGAAGTGTGATTTACTAACCATAGTCAACATTAATATGCTTTTTTATTTTCAATACTGATCACTGGCGGATCTATGGATCTCATAGATTGAATCTTTTTCTGGTCTTTTTTTATCTTTGGGTTGTTTGAGTTAAATGCTTAGAGTCAGTTGCTCCAACTCAGTAAAGCTTTAAGCGTTATCTAAACCAAGTTTTCTAAGGTCGACCGATCAAGATTAAATTTGTTTTAATCTTATATAACGCTTAATCTAAGATTTATTAAGCGTTGGACATTTATTAAGAGTTGGAGCAACTGGCCTTTAAAGGATCAAATATGTACTATTTTAAAATTGGGATACATATCGCTACTGTTATTACAATAGGTGGTATGTAACAATCTGTGTTAATACTATTTGTGCTAAGAATGACATTTTGTGGTCTACAACTGCAAAAAAACAGTATGTAACTTAGGAAAATGTTATATATAAAATATGAAATAAATCATAAAGAAATAATCAGGGTTTATCCTTTTGTGTAAAATAACTCAATTTTTACATACCACCTTTTGCACCAACAGTATCGATATACAGCAACTAAATGTAAGCATCATGTAAAGAGAAAATATCAAAAAAATAATTCCTTGCATCGTTATTTTTCCTGTAATTAACTTAATTATTATTATTAATTAAGCTACTGAGCCTGCTCATAATTAAATTTGCTTAAGGATCCTCTATTTTTTATTAACTGATATTAACTCAATTAATAATTTAATATGATATTATATTTTGTAATATTAATATTATATTTTATAATTACAGTTTGTAATGATGATATTTTATTGGCTAAATTCTTTGCATACCGTATTGAAAAGGTTTTTTTTTTTTTTCTGTTTCTTTAAAAGCATACCTGGAGTGCTTTGCGAATGCCTTCTTCTTATTATTTTTTTTACCTCAACAAAGAAACAATAATTTCTCCTTATATCCTTCTACACCACTCCTATTTATATATATATATATATATATATATATATATATATATATATATATATATATATATATATATATATATATATATATATATATATATACTTTTTTTTACTAACTTGTTGTCTGGTTGGAAGACAGAGGGGACACGCGGAAGATGATTTTGGGGCCTGAAATTTGGGGCATAGACGGGCTGTTGGGGATGGTGTGCCCCGTGAAGCCCCAGTTCCCCATTGAGATCGCCCCCTAGGCTGTTGCTTCCATATCCAGTGAGTCCGCCGTTCAAGGAGTCACCGACTTCCCCGAGGGAGAAGGCAGCAGAACTGAATGCTCCTCCTCCAAGACCGTTCCCTCCGTGTGGGGAAGGGTGGTAGATCTTCTGGCTGTGGACGAACGAGACTGGGCCGTGTCCTAAAAGAAATGAAGATTAAAATAATATGAAAAATGAAAAAAAAAAGAAAAAAAGGAATTGAAAAACTTGCAATAAGATAGGTAGGATTGGCATTAATAAAGTTTATTATATATATATATATATATATATATATATATATATAAAATTTATGAAATATATATATATATATATATATATATATATATATATATTTATATATATCTTTTTCTCTGAATAAATATATTTATTAATTCTTTTCTGATTATGTTTCGAATACTCACTTATACGACAGGTATTAATATGACTCATTTCCTGGGAAGTATATACAAATTTTAATTACCTCTAAATATCAGTAAATATACAAAACACAGTGTTAAATTGCAAGTGTTAATAATAATAATAATAATAATAATAAGGCTTAGCGAACCCGAAGGTTCGATGCCGACACCACCAATCGCTTATTGCACACCTCCCTCCACCGTTCGCCGTCCAAACCCAGTCCCTTCAGATCGGCTTTAATGCAATCTTCCCACCTTCGCTTCGGTCTACCCCTCGGACGCTTACCATTCGGCACTGCAAATATTAACCTTTTAAGAATTCTCTCGTTACTAAGCTCAACAACTTTACAAGCCCATTTGATTCGCCGCGACGAAATTACATCAATTATATTACCCGGATACAGCTCATGCAATTCGGCGTTGTGTAACCGTCTGAACTCTCCGGTTAACTCATCCTTCTTCGGTCCGAATATTCTACGCAATACTTTATTTTCAAAAACCTTAAGACGCTCCTCATCCCTTAATGTAAGCGGCCAAGTTTCGCATCCATAAAGAACTGTAGGTAAGATAATTGTTTTATAGATTCTAATTTTTAAGTTTCGGGACAAGAGGCGCGAACTAAGTAGTTTTGTCACAGAAAAATAACAAGCATTCCCCGCCTTCAGTCTAACCTTAATCTCTTCTTCAATTTCGTTTTTTCTAGTTATCGTAGAACCTAGATACCTAAATTTATCTACATGTTCAAACATATTACCATCTATATCGATATCACCAGTAGTATCGCCATTTTTGCAGCTAACCATATATTTTGTTTTATCCACGTTTATTTCGAGTCCTAGTTCTTTACCGGCTTTCATTAACGTTGTCGTATTTAGTTTTATAGTTTCAACGTCTTCGCTTAACAGTACCAGATCATCAGCATAGCCCAGCACGGATGTTGTCCCGCCCAGATCCAACCCTTTCTCGGTTCGCATTACCTCCCTGACGGCATGTTCTAATGCCAAATTGAACAAGATAGGCGAAAGAGAATCCCCCTGTTTTAAGCCCGAACGAACCTCAAATTTTTCGGACAAATTATTACCGATTCTAACTTTATTGAGTGTCTCCGTCAAGCACATCCTGACTAGATTTACTAGTTTTTTTGGAATCCCCTGCTCGATTAGAATATTATACAGTTTCTGGCGGTCAATAGAATCGTAAGCCTTTTTAAAATCTATATACAGCTGGTGAACAATACCGTTATACTCCAATTTTTTCTCTAGTATTTGCCGTAAAGAAAATATTTGATCAATTGTCGAACGATTCCGTCTAAATCCGCATTGGTAGTCTCCGATAATTTCCTCGGCGTATTCCGTGATTCGACTGGTTAAGATTAAAGTGAATATTTTATAACATACCGGAAGGAGTGAAATTCCTCGATAGTTATTACAATCCGTCCTCGGACCCTTTTTGTGAATCGGAATAAGAATAGATTCTTTCCATTCTTCAGGTAATTTCTCGTTCACCCAGATCTTTTTAACCAACTGATGTATTTTAGAAACTCCAGCTTCCCCGCATGCCTTAATTAGTTCAATTGAATTGCAAGTGTTAAATAAAAAAAAATCGAGATATTTAGTAAAGTATTTTTAAATTAAGTTTTATTATTATAATTACATCATTTTTACAATTGAGGTCTTCTTAAACAACCTACGTATAGAATAAAAGAGGTTAAATTAAAAAAAAATGATAACAATTTTTTTTTTAAATTTTAGTTTTTTTTTGCAATTAAATTATTGCATTAATATTTGTTCGTTAATAAATATATCACTATAACTAAGCCATTTATGTGTACTGAATGGTGTAGAGGCCCTTGGCAACCACGCCAGTACCGCTTTTCTGCCGCATAAGTGCATTTTCTACTTAACCGCTTAAAATTTTTAAGTAATTTAAAAATAATCAGCGTTTCAGAAAGAAAAATATATTCTCCAGATGTTTTATTTCAGCACGTTTTGCGTTATTATTGGCCGTTTAATTACAAACGACGCTTGATTTGTAACTTGAACATTTTTTTGTTAAAAAAATTGACTTTACTGGTTTTTTTCATAGCCTAAGCCAATTATTTGTTAATATTTCTTCATGTTTTATTATTCTATGACTATTCAGCTTTAATAAAAGACCAACTATGAGGAAATTAAACCAAATGCTGATTCTCAGTGACAAAAAAACTAACTAAAGTCAAAGTCTTCAATTCGCCATCTTTGGACGCCATTTTGGGGCAGTGCGTTCAGTTTTTTTGTGGAAACATTGCCTTTTTTTTAAATAAATAGTTACAAGGAACATAACGATATGCAATTTATAGGGAAGTGGGGAGGAGGGGGGGGGTGCACGGTAAGGGGGTCTGGCCCACCGTGTACATAATTTCATTTTTCTCTATCGTATCACATTAGTTCATTCAAAATAATAAACCAAAATAGGGGTATATTACTGTAGGCTGTATCTTTGTTAAGAATGGTCCAATTTCGATGATTATTATTTTTTATTTGTAAGGAATTTAATAAACTTTCAAACAGACATGGATCTAATCCAGAAAAAAATATATACTTTTTGCTATCTTTGTTGTTGAACTTCCAAGTATAAAAAAAATATAGTTTATTTGCTATAATTCATGTTAAGTTAAATTATTCACATCTTCAATACTTTATTCTCATCTTTGATAGCAATCAATGGCTAGAAAAGAGTTACGTTAAAGCGAATGTACGTTACAATACTTGTCAATGTAATGTTGTTACATAATTTGCTATATTTAGCTAAAACATCGTGTGCTCCTTTGTCATAGTTTAAAGTTTTTGTATGATATATAATATAATATCTGGAGCATCAAATTTTCCGTTGGGTGTCTGCTAGTACTTTTTTATTACCAACAATAAATTAAACAGCTTCCAAAGAAAAAAGAAGAAAAAAAGTATACTTTTTGAATTTTTAAAACAAATAAAATCAAGGGAGGAGTCTTGGTAAATAAATAAATAAATAAATGAAACTCCTCACACGTTTTCATTTTATATCTCCAGTTCTAATATGTTTAAGGGAGACGGGTTAGTGCCATTTCGTTTAGTTTATGTGGTCCTAAATCTCTGCTAAATTTCGTGTCGATATATGTTGGATATATATCTTGGTGGAAGCATGTTGAAGTTATCACACTCTTTGTGATCTTCGAAATAAAATCCAAGAGGAGAGATCCTTGGCTACAATTTGTAGAAAAAATGTTTATTTTTCGATTCCTATGAAAATTCGTATTTCAACTATGTTTCTCCTTTAAAAAATATTTAAACACACTTTGCTTCTTATGTCGGTACAATGTTTCAAATTTTTAATCGATTTCATTGATTATTTTTTTGTTTTGTAGGGAATTTAGTAAACTTTCAAATAATCATGTGTCAAATCAAGAATGTATACTTTTTGAGTTATTTGTAATCAAAGTTTTCTTCCCTTCACAACTTTTTTTCCTGAAGTTTCAAGAAGATAGGACTATAATTCGTCAATGATCAATGAATTCCACTTTTGTTTGATATCTCATTCATCAAACTCCATCGCTCTCGAGAGCTAGAAAAAGGATCTTTACTGTGAATAACTATCAGATTATATATAAAGATAGATTTTCTGGATCCTGGATAGATCAAAATAAATTTTGATTTGTCATAAATTCTTGTTATTAAAAACATTTATTAAATTATTGATGGTAATTTAGCGGTATTTTCCAAGTTCTCTTAAATATATATATATTAAAAAAATAAGCTTTTTTTTTTTTTTTGTAAGATCTTTTAGATTGTAAGTTTCTATTTGTTCAATAAAAGTAATGAGACTGCATAGACAGTTACGCGTATAAATTCACTAAACGGTTATGTAGCAAAAAAAAAACAAAACATTGCGAACCGCATTAGTTGTTTTTTAAATCAATGGATATAATAATTAGTGAATGGTCAGGATCTGTGTCCACTCTCCCGTTACAACATTGGAATGTCCTTGTGTTCGCCACAACATAATCGGCCAAGAATTTAGTCAAGGCAAAACTGTGTGGATTATGAACAGGTGTCCATTGTGAAATGGTTCGACCCAAAGAGTCTGGAAGGTTCCACTTTGAGTCACAGTTTCCTGAACTGCTACTTCTTTGGTTCTGGGTTCTTTTGCGCTGAATTAGGTTATTCCATTATTTAATTGTAACAAGATGTATATCATTTAATTATATAACTACAAGTACACCGTAGCGAGAACTCTCAAGTTGGATAGCTACCCTTATCTGTAATGCATTTAACCAATAAGCGACTACAGTAAAATATATTTACAAACACACACACACACACACACACACACACACACACACACACACACACACACACACACACACACACACACATATATACGTACACACTAATTATATATATACATACAGGGTGTCCTGTAAGTAGAGAGAAATGTTTAAATGGTTGATAATCTTAATTATCAAGATTTACAAAAATGTTCATATAAATAATTGCCCAATTTCCAGCAGAAAAGTAGGAAATTTATGATTTGTGCTTTTTTAAGCGAGTAACGTTTTTTGGTCGATTAGAAAGCGGTAACTAAAAAAACATTTGATTTAAGTAATTGAACATTGCTCCATAGTAAACTAGATAAAATTTACTTTAAATGAATGTAATGTTTGTCATTGTTAAAACCGTTTAAAGAGATCTATTGAGCGGACAAACTCAGCAACAAAGTTCCGTTTA